AACTGAATATTGTTCAATGTTTGTGAATAATGCTGGGGTGTTTGAAGTGGTAGATACTTGACTCGGGTTCCACTGTAAATAGACACGTCTATCTGTTGAGCCCTAAATAAGATGAAATTTATATGCTAGATTCCTCTGTTAGTCATAGGCCAAACTGCGAAGTGCCTTTAAAGCGTACATTATATCAAGGTTGACCAACCATAACTAACTGATTTCGTAGTTATTTGAAATTCTTGCAAGTGTTTATTCTTTGGCCGGTAATTAACATTTTTATGCTCACTAAACAATTTTACAACCAAATATTCGTCTTCGGTGAGAACCTGCCCCACATTCTTTACAGTATAGCTCCACTAATCACGGCTTCTCACTAGAACACCGGAAGTTTCCCCTCAAAGCTAGTCAGTATTGAACACATGATGATTGTCAGCATGCAGTTGTGGAGATTGTTGAATATCTTTAAAATCATGAGGCGATTTAAGCCAGACCCACCGGAGATTATGTGTTTCTGCGCGAGACTGGATGTCTTGGTTTGAACTCATGAGTACAGGATAGTGAATGCTCACTGCTGCGGAGATTAGTTATTTCTTAATTAATTAAGTGTTAATTGTTGCTTTAGAAACTACGAATCTTTAATTAGTCAATTTTAATTATTCTAATTATCCTCATGATGTTAAGAAATTTATCAGCTAAGCATTGAATAGCTGAAATCAACATTACAATTTCTTTCACAATTACTAAAATCATTTGAAAACTGTTACATATATGACATCTTCCTAGTAAAACAAGTTAAACCGGCATATAAAATAAACTTTATTATCTGATATTGTCCTACTGAGTCATTTTTTGCATTAAAATTGCGAATTTATTGGTTAAATGAATGTTGATGAGTCTTACAATAGGATGAAACGGTCGTCCAATGCTTCAACTGACTCATGATCTCAACCATTAAGATTACTATAATATCCACAAAAACCCTTCTTGATATTCCTATTTAAAGTTCACCAATCGATGGTATATATTTTTATGGGATGCAGGTACATCCAGCTGACGAGTCCCAAATAGGACGAAACGTGCGTTCTGTATTCCACTGCTAGCCACCATTCATCTTTTCTTAAAAAAAGTATATATTTATGTTTATTATTTATTTTACAGAAAAGTTTCAAATGAAATTTGTTGTTGCCCTAAACCAATAACAAATCAATCTATTTGTGATCCGAATACAAATGCAATTATACATAAACAAATTCATTATTCACTTATAATACCAACCTATAATACAAAAGCATTTAAATCATATTGTCAATCAAAATTATCACAAATTTCTGTACAAGTAAAATGTGGTAAAAAATTACAAAGAATTCGTATTAAACCATGTGATGGTGAATTTCATATTGTTAGTATATTAAAACCAATCGTTGAAAATTGTATTTGTAAACAGAAATTAATACATAAACAAAAAATAAGATGTGGTAAGTTGTAAATTCTATCGTTGTTTATATGCTCTATTCAGATAAAGTAATCAAAGAATAATTAAATACATCTATATCCTTGAAAGATATACACATATTTGACTTCTTATAATATCACTATTAAATAACTTGTTTATATTTCAGTAGCCATTAACGAAATTCATAGTCAACTTTCTAGTTTCCTTATAGTTTTCTTTGAACAGTTATGTTTAGAACAAATTACATAATCATGATATCAACAGTGGAGACAAGAATCCCAATCTGACATAAACTTGATGTGAATCATTCAAAATCATTTACTTCTTTTGTTAAGCATTTATTTAAGAGATGAATAAATTTTCTTCAGTTGAATTGAATATGTTGTTAATAATGTCTTCGAGAAACAGTAGAAAGAGGTATGGATTTACAACAATTATTCCTTGGAGGTTATTTCATATTTTACTGATTTTAGTTAATTTACTAAATAGTTTGAGATTTGTTCGAATCATCATGTGACTGTGACAAATGTAATCATCTTTGATGCAATGATAAAGCAATTGAAGATGGTCGCACAATGCTGTGGATTGATTAAGGTTAGACATTTAACACCGTTGGATACCGACTAAGTGGTCCAGAGATTAAGCGTTCGCGTGTGAGATAGAGGGCCTTAGGTTCGAGCCCTGGATATAGGATTGTGGATGTACACTGCTGAGGAATCTCATAATAAGATCAAAAGACCGTTCAGCGCTTCCAGGTTTTCAATGGTGGTCTAACATTAATCGGTCCATAATATCAATGAAACTTAACAATATTCACAAACCCATACTCATGAAATAATCCATTGTTTAGGTTTACACAAAACGTTCATTTAATTTAAGAATGGAGTTGATCAAAGTTAGTAACATTTCATTTAATGAAGTCTTTAGCATGACTGAGTTAAAATTCTCCTAATTTTCCATGTTTAAGCTCTGCTAATTTTGTTATATCAGATATTTAACTTGTAAATTTGTAATTGTGCAATGTCTGTCACTAATTTCCAACATCTGCAAACTCGTTAACTGAAAGCACTTTTCAGCTTTTTCTCCAAATTATGTGTCTCTTATCTAATTATTAGGTAAACATTCGATGTAATGAGTGCCTCTTACATATCGTTTCGTAGTTAATGTTTGATCTTCAAAGACATTTTCCCCTATTATCTAATATTATCCTGTGGAACCGTTTTCTAAAAATTTATTCTAAATAGTTTAGGTTTCAAACGGATGGAGATAGTTTACAAAACAGATAAATTAAAATAATTCTGCTACTGTGTCAAGTGGTATAAGACAATTGGCAACAAGTCGACAATTCAGGTTTTGAACCGTCTGTCGCTCGGTAGGATAAAATAACAGTAATATTGAAATCAGTTCCACTCAGTGTCGTTTAGAGATGCTACCACTGAGAAGCTTTTGCCATTACTGACTCCCAGTAGGACTGAGATATACCAATCGACCACATAGTAACAACCAACATTACTTTGGCCTAGTCTTTAGTTGTAATCGAATTATTTGGACCAAAGTATGTTGTGGCGTTGCATTCTGTCTTTCGTCAAAACATCATTATAAAACTTTACGATTCCATATATTTCGTAAGCTGTTTAAATGTCAGAATAATTTCAAAAAACCTTGTTTTTCTATGGATTTATAGGTTGTCCAACTGCTGTGCGTCATATTCCTGGAAAATGTATAAGTCAATGGGCTATACATAAATGGATAGGATTAAATGCTGTACCAACTGGTGTTAATAATACTTTTCATATTACAGAGAAATCATGTAAACCAGTAGTAATCGAAGAAAGACGTATTCGTTGTGCATGTCCACCTATGCAAGTGTTCAAAAAATGTTTGAACCACAGTTTACTGGTTATTCATCGTATACACTATAAAATGAATAAGGAACTAAATAATTGTGAAAGGTATAATACAAAGGAATTTAAAAAACTGGGTGAGTAAATTTTCATTGTCATAGTACATGTACCAGAATTTACTATTCGTGTTAGATGTTATTCAAATTTGTTAAGGTTACCAGGGATGGTGCTAGTGTTAAGTATATGCGGGTAGCAGGTTTACTTAGTGGGCTCACTAATTAAAACAATTACATGTTACATGTGTAAGGACATTTAAGGCGTTTTCAGAGGAGAACTAAACATCGATGCAACAAACAAAGGATGGGAGTACTTTTATTTCACGGACACATGTTAATAAATTATTCCAGAGCCTCGAAAATTTGATGACGCCAGTGAAGTGTATAATTTATTTAACTTGGTATATCCCTCGACTAATCACGTTGATACAACGTAAAAATAAAAAGTGAACCACGAGTTGAATGGAATCGGAATACACGAAGGTAGTTGAGGCTACAAACACCTATTCAATGAATAATGGATAGCTTACATGAATCACGTATGAATTACATATAACCAGTGAACGTATAGATTTCAGAAACACAGGTGAGGATAAATTAAATAAATAGTGAGTAATCAACATGACCAATGTACAAAAATAGACAAGGAATAATATACGCAAAATGACACGGGCACACATACATACACTACAATCAATAAAATTACAGTTATGCATGCAAAGTACAGAAAAAGGTCAAACAACAGTTTGTATATTCACCTTACAGTTGTGACATCGACTAAGTATTTAAAATCCAAGTGATAATCAATGCATGATAAAGGATCACTAAACTATTTCTCATTGTACATTGACCTGTTTGACTTAAAATGATTTCTTTGACTGTAATGTTAAGGGACCTAGAGTTAAATTCTTGAAGCACTCTATATCCCTATTTTTCGAACACCTGTTCTTAATAAGTATCAAAAAATAAGGAAACTGTATTAAGGATCACTTACAGGTTACAACTATTTGTTTCATAATCATCAGTTAGTCTTATTCCTTTTCTCAACCTAAGGAAAACAAAGCGACATAATTAACTCAATTTATACGTATTAGTAGCTAGACGAAATCTACTCATGAATTATGATATATAGGACACATGCTGAACTTTTCGGGGAAATAATGTAGGGTCTATAATCATATGCCAGGAAAAATAAATACTGAATACAGCAAGGTTATGAACATGTAAACCATTATTTATATCACAATGTTGAACGTTGTTGAAATTGAGAAGACGACGAGAAAACCACTGTTTTTTTATAAAGATGAAAGTCCCCTTTGGAATATCTTTCATTAAGATGTTTAGATTTTAAATAGGTGTGATAATTGTAAAAAGCGCAACTCCCAGGAATTATAAAGCTATATAAAAGCTTAAACCGTTAGGTAAACTGTTCTGACTACAGGTAATCAAACTGAAAAAAGAAGAACAATGAAAGTCAAGTACCAAATGAATACAAGACTTTAACAATTCCAGTCTATCTCTTGTTTAATAAATACAGTGATTTCTTTACATATGTAGATTCTTTTAGGTGAAAGAAAATATAATAACATGGTAACAAAATTTTCAATTTTTTGTTTATTTACAGCTTGTCCTAATACACAAGTAACACAAACTCCATGTGGTAACAAATTTGAAAATTATGAACAAATTGAAATAATAAAACATTGGCAAACAAATCAATGTAATTGTTTAATGAAAGTAATTAAAAATAAATGGATTTGTAATTGTCATGCACGTTATCCAAATCAAGTTATAACAAAATGTTTACCAAATGGATATCAACGTCTTACAATAACAAAAATATGGTTTAATCATGGTAGACAATGTTTGAATAGAACAGAAAAACAGATAGAAAGCATAGGTATGTTATCGAATGGATTTATTTAGCTGAAATTTTTTTATATTCCTTCCTTAATTTTTGTCAACCTACTTAATGTTGAGTAATTTTATTGAAAGACCTAAGCACTGAAACCTAACATTTTCTAGTATTCTGAATATTATTGGTGTAATTATTCAGCTAAAAGTGGATTTGAATATTTAACTTCACTTTACTCTTTCTATTCTGATGATAAGCTGATGTAACGGAATACAAAAAGCAGATAGCTGATTCAGCTTTATTAGGATCTGTATGATCAGGCTGTAATCAACGAAAAGAAAATGCATAATTTCTTTCTCTTTACTTTCATTATCGATCGGTCCACTTATATTTTCAGTAGGGTATGTGTCTAGTTTATTTACCGACTGACATACCGACTGATCAACAATAACTACCCAAACCTTGACGCTTAATGGCGTTCGAGCTCCTTCTAACCCAGAGTTCGATCAGATAGAAAGCCTATCAGTTCTTTATTGTACTCTATACAATCATGCATCAAGCTCACAGTGTATGCTTGAAATATCTGGCCACATTGAAACAAAATTAGGAAATTCGACGATTTAGTCAAGTGATACATAATCGGAGCAATAGGGAAATAATTAGCTAATCATGAATCTGGATCAATAAAGCGTATGACCATTCATAGGTCCGATAAAAGTACAACTATCTAAAGGCTTACTAATTATACAATAAAAATATAATTTCTTCGTATGACATTCCCACAAGTTATACTTCCACATTACTCATCCTACTATAACATAAACTCGTTAAAATATGTATGTACACGGTTTTGTACGATAACACCTATTTCATGTTACATTGAGATTAGTAAATTGCGGTGTATTAAAAATTAGACTGCAAATATCGGTCAACAATACAATGAATTTCCAGCAGTGGAATGGAGGACATGTTTTTCGCTCTATTCGGGACTCGTCGTCTGGATTTATTTACATTCTATATTCGATGTTCACTCCGAGACTCGATCATAATACCATTCCCTTCGAACATCATTGTCTTATCGTTTTAACCACTGAGTCCAGGTAGCCATTAGCTTGTACGATGCGGAAAGGGACTGATCAAATGCAGTCCTAAACATCAACGTGAAGAATCGACAAACCGATACCTATAAGGTTTGTATTTCCAATAAATTCTTTTCGTAAATGAAGCCACTATCTGATTAGTTACTGTTCAACTTTTTTACCACTTTATATATCGTACTTTGCAAACATAGTATTTGAAATTTCCTTTTTTTACAGCTTGTCCAAAGAATTTACGGATTATCAAGGGGGAATGTAGTAGTACCGGGAACTTACAATTGATTTACCTTCTACAACGACCTCAACATTGTCAATGTGTCTGGCAGAAACTTACTGACTCGGAACGACAAGCTTTAGGACTCAGATCAACTGAAGCATGTAAATGCCGTCCTAGCTTTATAGTTAAACAATGTCATGAAGCTAACAATAACCGAACGGCTTATTTAGTTAAAATACATACTAAATATATTCTACAACAAGGTGAATGTCATATTGATCGTAAATTTGAGAAGAATCCTGTTGTTTGTCAAGTAGGTAGTCAATTACACAGGTAAGCAGCTTGATATGTAGCTAACTACAAACATACTTTTTATCTATATAATTTGACAGACACCAGAACACTGTTTATCATCCAAAGAAGATCAGTCTGTAGCATTCCATTATGTTATGAGATATTCTTTCTTAAAATAAACGTACTTTCATTCATTGAAGCCAGGAATGTACTAATAGTTAAAACATTCAGTTTCCAATAGACAGATTATAGTTTAAAACCTGTTTCCACCTCCCTGGTATTTTGTAGACAAATATTTTTATCATTCTTTACAAAATTGTCGCTGAAAACCATGTATATAGATGCATACTTGGCAAATGTAATTTAGAAACAAATATTACATTGGAAAATAACCTTTTAAAAGGATTCGACAGTCGTTTTGAGTAGTTTGATGATTAACACTGTGTTTATTTATGTAGAATTTCTTATCAAGTATTTACCTTTAGTTAGCTAATGAACTTGTTAGGCGAGATATACCCACTCATACTAATTTTAAGGATTTAGAATAACTGTTTATGACATTTTGACAAAATCCAAATTTTTTGAATTCCTACGTAGCTACTGTACAGAACATTTTGAATTCTTCAATTCCCCAAGGATTCATAATTCAATAAATCGCTCTAATTTTTGCATTGAACAATAGTATCCGCTAAGTGAGAATGTTCGTGCGTTATTTAACAATAACATTTCACATGCATCATCGGTACCTTTAGGTATGCCGTGTATAATCAACATAATATAAATCAGATGTGTTTTATCACAATTATTAACTACCTAAATTTGTGAAAATTTCTTCAGGTCCCAGTGTAATCCAGTCAGTAATGAGCTGATTGAGACCAGGATTACAACACATCTACGTGGTTGTCAATGCCAGCAGGAAATAGCTAAACGTCGCTGTCAGTGTAGTTGTCCAAAACCAAAAACTAACGCAGTCTGTCAAAGTCGCGATGGTCTACTACGCAAGATAAAGATTATATATGCATATAAAGATGATCAGTGTACTTGTGAAGCAAAGTATTATGTTCAGTCTTCCCGTATTCGTTGTCATGAACCTCCGAAATTAATAAAAATTGGTAAATGCCATAAATTGTCTCAAAATGAATCTATTTACGTACACAAGAATGACCTATATAGAAATCTAGTTTGGAATAAATTACATCGCGTAGGATGTCAATGCAAACACCAACGATTTATGGAACAATTTCCATGTTGTAAGTGGGAAATATTGAAAAAAGAGTTTTTACTTTATTTAATTCTGAATAACTGGATTTAGGCGGATTAAGTTCAAACTAATTTATAAGCAATTTTAATAGTTGAGATCATGAGTCAATTGAAGATAGACCACCACGGAAAATCTGCAAATACTGGACGGCTGTTTCGTCCCATTATGGAACCCCTCAGCAGTGCATATCTACCATCCCACCTCGCGACATTCGAACAATCAACCTATCAGTCTAGTGCGGGAACGCTTAAACTCTAGACCAATGAGCCGGCATCCAGCGTTGTTGATGTGTAACTTCAACTAATCCACGAAATTGAGTGACACATCCAGCATTGTCTTCAGTTAGTTACTATCTTACAACAGACCTGGTTGAACTCCACTGATCACTGCTTCTCACTAGAACTCTAGGAAATATCTTTTGAAGTCAGTCACTAGTGAGCATATATTGATTAATATCTCAAGGGTAGTCCTACGATAGGACGAAACGGCCGTCCAATTCTTCCAGGTTTTCCATGGTGGTCTAGCTTCAATTGATTCATAGTGTAAATAGACAACACTGCATGAATATTACAATATTGTAGATTCAAATATAAAAGATGGTATAACATTTTTTCTTCGGAAAATATGTTTTTTTTTTCAAAAAAAAAGAGAAAAACAAGACCACATGTAACACCAAAAGTTATTGAGCTATATTATTCACCAGCTAGCTACCTAGCTGAAAATTTCGACATCTGAACAAAATTGTTCGTTCCCTTTCTTTATCATGGCTTTTTTCAATCCCACGTTAATGAAAGTGATTTTAATTTACCTTACTTTACTATTATTATCATTATTAGTATGACAGAGATTGTTTCTACCCAGATTTCTTGACTACCATTCATATATTTAAGTTCATTCAGTATATTTCACTGATAACTCACTTTACTGTGAATATTAAATTCAAGCGCAGTGCAACTAATTACTTACGCCTGTCACCTCCCGTGAGGTATAGACCATTATCTAGTGACCTCCAACTAACTCTGTCTTGTGCACTCCCTTCCAGCTTTCGTCTAAAATACATTTTTTTTACTTCTGCATCTAGTCCCCGGTGCAATATGTGCATTAGTAGATGATAAGGAATCAAGTTACCAGGTATAACAACAAAATGATCGCATGTCTGCTGTTATCTGACCTGTCTCTTAAAGTTGTTGACAAATACAATTTATCGATCTCTCTTTGCAATGTTCTATTTATCTTGTTCGAAATCAAATATAAAGGTTGACAAAATCGTAAATTTTCCGGTCTTTCGTTTCACAAATTTCTGTGAACTTTATCCCATATCTGAATAAAAGTCAGTCTTCAGTCATAAAGTAAACAATAAGTTACACACCATCATGTTAATTTCTTTTGGTTAGTCAGCAGAAATCTCTTAATCTTGGTTTAATTCTATCACCAACATGGTGCACATAATATTCATTTACTCAGATTTGCGATTATATTACAACCTAATTAGTAGAGTTCGATCATCATTAAAGGACTGGACAAATATGACATTGATCGCTACTCGATAAGGAATCAATTATAAATGCTCGTTTATTCAGTTGAATGCACTTTCATAAACATTTTATTTACTGAGACAATAATGTCGCGAAACTTTGTATAAAGGCAACCCTCTAGAAAAATCTCTGTGTAATTTTTAATGAAATTATACCTCTCTTGATATTTCAAAGTTGTACTACTGAGTTGTTCTGAGATCACTGGATTATGCCGAGTTTTCTGTTTACAAATAGATTAATTATGGTAATTAACCTTTGTTTTTACCAGCCAAACTACTTTCGATTTTGTGTACATGTACACTTCATTACATAGATTGTTCACCTGATATAAAATATGAAACTCAATGTATCAAGGACAGAATATTGGAAATTCGAAAAACTGAACGAAAAATAAGCGAAGATAAAAAGCAATGTATACGAATTGTCATATCTAAAGTTCGTAATCCTATACGTAAGTAACTTTTAATTATTGCATATAAGTTATGATTCAATTACTTTTGTCATTGTATATTGATGATAAGTTGGTAGATCATATAAGTTCGACCATTATATGACGTTAAAACAATACTAGTTAGTTTATTGTTAAATGATAAATTTACACCCTTTAAGGAATCCATTCACTACAATTCCATGGAGTTCAATAATTCCTTAGTTGATTTCATACTGTGACAGAAATCACTTGCAAAATTATTGAATCCAAATATGACAGTTATTAACTTCATTATTTACAATCTGTAATAGATTTACATAATTATGAAAATTAAAATATTTTTTGTACATAGATCTTGGAAAACCTGAATATAACAGAAAGTGTAATCCTAAAACTGGTATGGAAACAGTAGTGCAAAAACTACCATATATTGAAAATTGTAGACGACAGTATCGTGTTAATGTAATTCATCGTAAATGCAGTAAGTAAAATGAAAGATTTTCACATTTTTATTCTTTCTAAATCAGATAGTTCATTTGGTCATAATGTATACGATTGAATAAGACATTGTTACATAAAAAAAAACGTTATTGTTTATGACAGAAACATGACAATTAAGTATCTATGTGTAAATAATGATCAAGTAACTTAATAAGAAATACAATTTAATCTTTTTAATTAAACAAAATATTCTATAAGTCTGTCGTTAAAAACATGATAGAAATATTGTCCATTCATTTTAAATAAATGAATACTTACTATCTGAAAATAGAATCCCTCGAATTCCCTGATACGGCCGAGTGTAGGGAGAGTCAGCTTTCTATCTCGAAATGCTCTCACATAGTTACAACCACTGCTAGGGAAATCCTACTGACTGCCTCTCTCACCGGGGGTGTTGTTTATGAAAGTGAGAAGACAAAAAGCCAATGTGTGGTGCTTTAACTGGGTTGGTGGACACGACGAGTCCGCCTAGGGGAGTTGGGAAACCCTGATTTCAAACCAATGGTGCACATGGGCTCCAGCATTCTGAAGGAGCAAATGGCGTATGAACTAATTATTGGTCACCGGCTACTATGAAAATGCATCTCCTTACGTTGCTCTACTGCTTCGGTCTGGGCACCCGGGCAGTATCATAGCCTACACACAAATAAAACAAAATGAAGAAAATTAATGAAAATACTATTTTCGCCTCGACTAAAAATCAGACAATTCATATTCATATTTTCTCTATCTTTTTTTATATATGTGTAGGGCATATGTATCTGGTGCTCCTTTGTACCAATATTTATGTGTTCAAATAAATAAATAAATAAAATCCCTTCCGAAAATGTGTTAAATCGTAAATTGTTGGGTTAGAATATATTTTGCTAACTACAGCTTTGTTCTCAGAAATTTTCAATTTCTTATATTATTGGGATTTTTTATATTGTAAAGTATTTAATTGTAAAAACCAATGAATTGGGATAGATTGACTTAAATTTATAAATTAAGATAATTCAGACAATCACTTGACTATCTGTTTAGAGATATGTTTAATTCATTTCAATCTTTGAACTCCACTGGTCATAGATTCCCATTAAGATTTCGAAACTCTCAATAAATGTTTATTGATTTATTAGTTAAACTATGAAATTAAGCCGCTTAACAAATTGTTAAGGTTAACCACTATTGGTTAATGCTACCATCTGTGAATAATATTTGGCAACAGTTTCTTATAGTTGGAGGCACAATTTTCCCCTCAAATTCATTATAGCATTATTATTATTATTGGTTTTGTGTTTTCTACTTTCCTTGTAATTTCCAGAATGTAATACTAAACCTCGTTTAATTCGACAATCTCAGTGTTCACCAGAATGTAAAGTACGATATACATGGCTTATGGAGAAGATAACACCAGAAGGTCATTGTAAATTTTATTATCGTGTTCAAGATAAATCATGTTGTTGCCCAACTGAAATTAATTTAGGCACATTTTGTAATCGTTCCATTGGATTATTGGAAACTGGCTATCGCAACTTTACATTAATCAATGGAAAATGCTTATCCAAAGACAGATTTATTGGAAAACGAATCGGTTAGTTGGTTTCTTTTTTGAAGTTGATGTTATATTGAGATTCTAATAATTTTTATACAATCAAAATATCATAAATAGGTCTTCTAATACTATACAACTAAAGCAATACAGCTGGACGACTCAAATTTTCAACATTTATAACTGTCCTCCCCCCTAGTAATATATGTCCTGTTGATTCAAAGGATGATCAGAATCAAAGCCAGTTCAGTGCATATGAACTATTACATAACAATATAAATCCTACAACACTTTTCCTTCAGTTACCTAAAATGCTGATTTACCGATTATCAAGGATAGTAGTCCACTAAATAAATCATTGTTGCATTAGATCTAGACTATGAATATAACATGGTCAGCTCTGCCTGCATACAGGTTTGTGTATGTCCAATTAAGTTAAGCCTTTGATTTAGCCCATTTTGTAATGTTATTGTAATCCATAACGATTCGCCTATATATATATCCTTATGCTTATATAAATGACTTTATATGGCTAAATGCGTATGATAACCTGCGTCTTTATTTATCACCCACTTAAATATTAACTGCCCAAACAGTTGATGATCTATTAGCATGCACAGTATTCGCCTGCTAAACTAGATCCAATACTTCCTGTCTTTGTATGTGCAAACGGTTTTCCGGTTGAATGATCTACAAAGTATGACAATAATCGCGAAGTTTGGCTCAACAATACTTTTAAATACAAAATAAATGGAAGAGTAATAACGTAATTAAATAACACACAAAATGGATATAAATGGAATTAAAACATTTAGAGCCATACTCATTTCTATTGAAAACCAGCCAAAAAAATTAACAAAATGAATGATAATATAATCCTAATCAATAGTGTAGTTTGTGAAGCTAATGTCCTTATCTATTCAATCAGAGATAATAATGTTGTAGAACTGAATGATTTAGAATTTAAAGTACAAGTTGACGATAATTCTAAACCTAAAGTTTGAACCTAATTAATCCAACACAAAACATATGCAATTAAGGCACACTTGAAAAGTTAATTGCATTCATAAACTGTCTCGTAACATTTAGTTTCCTTCTACTTCAACCTAAATGTAAATAGTTGATAATATCTATTCGATATTTTATACACTCAAAACACATATAGAAGAAAATCTTACAATATTTCATTGGTTTTATGTTTAGATTAAAAAAGAAATTAGAGAAAACGTTTTGTTTCCTTATAATAATAATAATGATAATAATAATAATAATAATAATAATAATAATAATAATAATTGTTATTATTACTACTTATATCAATTCAGTTTGTAAAAAGAACGAAAAAATAGTGAAATATCAACAACCAAATGGTTGGATACGAATTGAGAAACAAGTTAATATACGTGATGGATGTAATTGTGTTCGGAAACTCATTGTTGATTATGATAAATGGAGTAAGTCTTTATAGATAATACATTTTATTGAACTATATCAACAATTGATTAGCTAAAATCTATATGTCAAAATTTTTACTTCTTACCATAAATTGATTTAGAACAGTTTGTTTTTGTTTTGTCCACTAGACCACTGTACATTAATAACTACAATTTGTAAGAGTAGTAAATATGGAATAATAATCTCCACAATTCCTATACTAATAATCGGTCACTTTGTTTCATGTGTATGATAGTTCATGTACCATTAGTAAAGCAAGGAGACATATACAAAACCTAATTCACAATTATTGTTAAGATAAATATGTATTTTATGGATCTCATACAAACTAATGACTTATTGATAACAGTTGAATACTCCCTCCTTCCCAAATTATTTAAGTGAATTATTTATTTTTGCATCATATACAAGCCAAATGATTTATCACTATCATTTTCTATTCCTCACCAGTTTAATGTATATTGCCTGATTATTATGAATTTAGAACTTCTTATTACAGATATGAATGATTTCATGATTAGCTGACTTATAAAGTTTTTGGTGAAGCTAGATGGTATGGTTGTGGAGCTTTCATCGTTCTTCTGAACGACATCATCAACACAAACTGAGCTACATACCTTCGCCGCCATATCGAAATTATATGGCTGATAAAGTAGCTGAGTTAACTCATATGATTTATAACCAGCTGGATTTAAAGAGCTGTAATATTGTTTTGCTTCAAATATTGAATTTTTATTCAAGGATTAAAATATACTAATTATTTCTGACTAGTTTAAATTCTAGTTATACATTCGTTGTACATTTCAGCAGAATGTGCCATAATTAGGATGTCATTTTACTATTGCCATTGTATTCGAATTTTAGACATCATTTAGGAATGTACATGCTTGATTTGTAATTTTTTATTGGAACTAAGTAAACTGATTATATTCTATTAGTTTTGAAACTTTAACTAACTACTTCCATTCGATCACGACATCAGGAAGCGTACTTAACAATGAAAATATATTACTATTTTTTAAATAAGGTTATCCAATGAGTGACTAGGTTTTGGACAAATTACATTGTTTAGAATTATATCGTGTACATTTTGGATTGTGTAATAAAATAATGTTGAGATAAGTAGTATGCAGTGTTAACTTGAAAAAGCTTAAGCATTAAACAAAATTGCGAGATTATTGACCACGCAGAGTGAGAGAAATAATAGTGCGAATAACGTACACATAGGCAGTACAATTCAGCAAGTCCGTTATCGTATAGCAGAACAACATCCTTTTTGGTTGACCAAGTTACAGGTAAGAGTTATTAAGGGTTTTGTTCTCGCTCACCTGGTGAACACAGGTCATCACGTTAACTTGAATGAATATTTTAAGGTTACTTACCATATTCCACCAAAATAATAACATGATTTAGGAGTTCATCTAATGCGCATTACTGAAGCTATCGGAACCCATGTTCACCAACTAAACCTTTGTATTTAAAAGACGTTTGTACAACAACTCTCACTACTTACTGTCAACATTCATCCCTTGATTCTTACATAACTACTTTAATATTGACCTTTCATCAAAAATCTTTTGTTAGTTCCTTCTTTTTTTTACATGTTATACAACGTAGCAATTGTTTGATTTTTCAAATAATTAGTTTCATTATTATTATCCTCTTTTTTCCAATTACTCAATATTATTTTAGTCAGTGTGTTACGTAACTACTTGATGAGTACTATTTCACTATTGTAAATCATACATATATAGATTAGTCATGATGAAAAACGAACCGAAAAGAAATTTCTTCACTCGTTCTGATTACATATTCGATCAAATGCTTAGTAGGAGACTATATTCTGCATAAAGTTATATGAATCCAGTGGAATGAGTGTTAAGTAGATTAATCATGTGTTCAGCCTATTAATAATGAAGTTAAACCATCAATAATAATAGTTTCAATATAACCGGGTCTTTCTCAATCATTTATCGGGTCGGTAACTTTTTGTCAAAGTCTGTTCGACTCAATGTCCATTCGACTTGAAATGCTGAATCTATGAGTGCAAAAGAAATATGTTTAACTGCTCCTCTTGCCATGGTCAACCTCCAGGCCAATTAATCAATGATAATTATAACTAATGAATGACCTAATTTGACTAATTTACATGAGTTATGAAAGTCAGATATAAATTACTTTCTAGTTTACATTACGGACTAACGTCAGCTGGGCAAATAACGAAAAAGAGAAAACAATGAACAACTGTTTCATCCAGCTATACAATTTCTTAGCTTTCCTTATCCATAGCAGGTGATTATGCCGAAGTTCGTGTACAAAATCAACATCTTATTCTACTGTGGCTCCGATCCTCCTAGTACCTCAGTTAACACTAAATTTTAATGTTTGTTATCTGTTATTACTACCTGTAACTTATTTCTTCTTAATCTTCCTAGTGTTCGCCAAACGAACAATTATCTTGTTCATTTCTCAGGTGTCATTCATTGAATTTTAGACCTTAATGTATGCTCTCATTGACAGCTGAAATTTTGGAACCCTATTTTAGATAATTACATTCTATTTTCCAAAGGGCTACTATATACCTTAAATAATTAAGTACAATTGTACATTATCATTAAGCGGTACTATCTAAAAAAAAAGCTGAAGAAACTTCATTTTTTTACAAACTGAGCCATAAGTTTCGGTTTTGTGATTACATAAGAAGCAAAATATCGACACGTTATTTTTGCTTGGAGGATTTAGATTTTTCGTGTAGACATTAGCATGATCATTTTTAAATATCCGTTTCAAAAATCTTACAACTAATTGCTAAAAAAAAGAAAAACTTAACAGTAAATTTCGTAGATTATTAGCCGTTTTAAAATATTTTTTTCTTGTTATACAGATTGTCCTCCGCCAATTACCCAGCGTCGGTGTGTTCAAGCCAACAGTGAACAATTCGTTCTTGAGACTATTTCGACTAAATGGAAATTATCGGAAAGTAAACCAACATGCTCGCGTTTAGACACAATTATTGATCGAGTTCCAATTGACTGTTCTGAAGAATATGTAAATAAGTCAACTAAGTGTGTGATGAGTGCTGGTCGACATGCTTTAGTTCGTATTGATCAAGTGACTACATTTCATGCTGATGGTTGTCGATGTATTGAGAATAGTGTACGTCGGGTATTTACAGTTTGTAAATGTACACGTCCACATAGAGAAAAGTCCTGTCTTTAGTAAGTTACTCTTATTATTGCGAATATGTACTTATATTAAGTAGCGTTATTTATGTATGAATTTCATAATAGTCATAAAAACATGTTGTTGATATGAGTGAAAGTGGAATAGGTGACTTTTGGAGTTCGGGTTCAGCTCAGACATCTGAACCTATGAAATGACGAGAGTTTTAACTAGGTTTTTCTGACCACTTGATGAAATCGAATATGATGTTTTCTAGTTAATTAATGTTAAAATGCAACATAATTGCAGAAGTAAGTGGAACGCCTTAGCAAATTATTTTATGATTCTTTTGAAAATCAGTTTGTGCATATCAGAAAGTTTGATCAACTAACAAATGTGTTGTTGCCAATGGCTTCATATTGTTATTGTTTAGCAGAATCATCTACCACGTGTCATTTTGTTTAAATTACTGATTCTATTTTACATCAGTATGGGGATGTGGAGATTATATAATTTTTGTTTGAGATCATGAACCGGTTAATATTAGACTACCATCGTTCTATTACGAGATTCATCAGTAGTGCGCATCCACGATCTTGCTCGCGGAATTCGAACCCATGATTTTCGATTTCACGCCCAGACGCTTAACCTCTGAACCACTGAGTAGGCATCCAACGGTGTTAATGTCTTACCTCAACCAATCCGCGACCATCTTCCATTGTACTGAGCTAATTACCTGTCCTTACCTGACATGGATTACCTCCACTGGTCACGGCTTCTCACGAAGCTAGTCACTAGTGAGCACATGCTAATTATCAATGTGGGGTTGTGGTTCGATAAATTAGTTCGTTTGGGAAATTATTATAGTTCATTTTATAGTCTTCCCAATTCTGAAACTCCTAGTCATAAAACTAAATTGTATAGCTCGTAAATGATTAGAGTATGAAAAGTATTTTCAGTTCTTAGTTGTCTAGAATGAATCGATTTGCCTCTTTGATTAACATAATACTTCTGTGAAAGTTTCAGTACCTAAATGATTTAATTTTGAGTGCGAATGATTCTATCCGAGAGTGGAATTCAGCACACTTGATTTTTTCTAATTCAGAATCATCAGAGATATTAAATGAAGACTTTTAGTCAGTTACATATACTGTTTTCATCACTTGTCTCGTATTTGAGCACTTAAATCATTCGACAATTATGTAATTTCAGTAGTTGAGATCACTAGTCATTTGAAACTAGACCATCATGGAAAACCTGAAAGCACTGGACGGCCATGATTAGTAACTGGCTTCAAGAGGTACTTCCTGGAGTTCTAGTGAGAAGGGGTGATCAGTGGAGTTCAACCAGGTCTGTTGTAAGATAGTAACTAACTGAAGACAATGCTGGATGTGTCACTCAATTTCGTGGATTAGTTGAAGTTACACATCAACAACGCTGGATGCCGGCTCAGTGGTCTAGAGTTTAAGCGTTCCCGCACTAGACTGATAGGTTGATTGTTCGAATGTCGCGAGGTGGGATGGTAGATATGCACTGCTGAGGAGTTCCATAATGGGACGAAACAGTCGTCCAGTATTTGCAGATTTTCCGTGGTGGTCTAGCTTCAATTGACTCATGATCTCGACTATTAAAATTACTATAATATCCACAAAACCCCTTCTGAAATTATGTAAATGGACAAATATTATTCACTGATGTAATAAAGTATTGCACTTCAATATTTTATGTAAATTTTCTACATTAGCATAAGTGTTGAATAACTACCACTGGTTACATTTATCATTTACTTCCGATTCTAATTTGATACTTTTAAATTTCAGTTCAGAAGGTGTTTTAATTCATCAAAATGTTTATTATGAAGTTTCTGGAGATAAATCACGTTGTTTACCACGTAGATCACGTCGTGTAATTAAAATAACTTGCTCACCAGTTGGCCCACAATATAAAGGCAGAACACAATGTGATGCTGAAACTGGGAACTTTTTCCATATATATGAAGAATTCAAACGTGTTGGTTGTCGTTGCTTGAAGAAAGAACTACGTATTCCTGGCAGATGTAGATGTCCTGAACAACGATCAGAAATGAGGTAGACATATCCTGGAAAATGTATAGCTTTATTAGTGTAACCATGATTTTTAACATCAGATACTTCTACAGATTTGACTACTATTGATAAGCTAATTAATTCATTGGTCCTCAAATGATGTAGTTGATTCGATTTTTAAACTCTCATGTCTGGTAAATTTATTCGGCAGAAATCAATTCATGGTATACGTTATATCTTTGTATTTAATGCCGAAATAACATAATAATGCAAGCTTATCTTGACAAAGTACAGATCTTAAACTGTAACTCAAAAAATGTTAAGTCAGTGACGAACTAGCCGATGAGTTTGTATTATCTTGCTATAGTATTAGTCAATTAAGTAATAGTTCCATCTTGACTTTTTCATTTTTTGACCGATTTATTTATTCAAATGTTTGGAGCTCATGTTACTAGCCTAGCAAGGACACGGTTCATACAAGCAGGCATTATATCGTAAGTTAAACTTATCTAAAATATTCCTGGTAAAAATCTCCCAATTTGAGCAATTACTACTTAGTACCCACATGTAGCCAATACGAATCTGTAGACTCGAATCTCGCTTAGTGAGTAGTCCCGGCGAATTATGTCTGTTTCGTTTAAACCCGAAAGGTTTTACAACACTGATAGGGATGTTAATGACAGTCTGTTTGAAATATATCACATAAACTTTTACGACGTAGACAGTTATGTTGTCAATTATTTGAAATAACCTGACACCAAATTTATGTTACTAGAATAGTGGTTAAAACAATCTACTCACAGATTATAATGAGACAACCTGTCGCTTGAGATCACCACATAGAAGTGAAGTTTGCCGACAGTAAGTGTTCAATGGTTATTTGATGGAAATGTACTATGAATCTTCAGTATTTCTCTATACTTTTGTTTGCTCAGATGTTCAATGCAAAATGTTCAACAACTCAACACAACAACGTATGAATTAAATCCAAAAGGAACATGTACAAAGTCATACAAGCTTCAATATAAGTATATTAAATGTCCATTATCTGATGATCTTCTTCAAGAGTCAACTGATTATAAGGTTCAACAAAGCCAATCACTAATAAAACATATATACAAGTGCGGTTCGGCTGGGAAATGTATGCGTATTATACAAGAATACAAAACTTACACAAATTACAAATGTAAATGTATCACTGAAAGAAAACAATACAGAGAGGCATGTTGTTGTCCAACGGAACCAGATATGATTCAATTTAATTTACCAAACAATTCTTCTCAATCTGTAACTGTCAATACACTATGTGATCCGGATAAAGGGTTAATACTGAACAATACAATTAGATGGAATCTTGAACATGGTAGATGTTGGCCAGTTATACACAGAACAATTCTTCCAGTCGGTAAGTAGGTTAGGGATAAATTTCTAATTAGTCACGAATCGGTTTTATTTAATATGACTTGATTATTAGAAATGAATTGACGAGATGTTTCCAGTGGAAGATTATATGTTTATTTGACTCTAGTCAATGAGCAAAATGTTTGCTCATAACGCGTTGAATGATATGACCTCTTAGTACAGTTAAGAATTATTGACTTTAGGACTTCATTGCTAAACAGAGATCAAAAATATACAACAGAATTCAGACGAAATTCCAAATCTTGATTTAGAATACTCCTATAACATTTTTATTAGTAAGTGCGCAAATTACACAGTAATATTTTATCTGTTGTTACTTTTCCCCCTATTTTTCGTTAGTGTATTGTTTATTTTCACAGAGCGTCCAGTGAAAATGTATTATGTGAGTAAGTAGGATCTCTTTAACCCCCTCAAGCTAAAAGCTAAGATCATTGCTATTAGAATAACTAATGATTTTTTACATATGTTTTATTCTGTAAATGTTATGATAATGTATAACAGACGATTTATGTAAAGAATCTACTTCCTCACCATATTTTATCAAGACTTTCATAAATTTACCTTGAAGGCAATTTGTTTAAAAATCAATTTCGTTTTCAATTATATTCAAGTTTTGTTCTATGAATGAGTTCAGAAAAAGGTTAAGAAGTTTTTCATTGAAAGTTATTGCATATAATATGAAATAAATCTATGTATACTTGCCATTCAGTGAAATTCATTATAGTTACTTAAATGTATTCAATAAATTGGTTATTGATGAACTTCAATTTAACCTGTAAAGATTTCAATACTAAAGCCTCATTGATTATCGTTTATCTTTAATGGATGTATGTTTTGTTAATACTTAGTAATATATAATATATAATATACCCTTGTGGGCCAGGGTAATTTTACATTGGTTTTCAGGAGAACAAGACATCATCCGAACTTTCACGTAAAAGCCCAAACAGTACAGCTCAACCCCGTTTAGCAGGGGAACCAGATACCGTACAGGCTTTAACGGTACAATCTGAATAGTACAGCTGAATCCTGTGGCGCAACCACACAGGTATCAAGAACCCTGGTGGACCAATGTTTTGTTAATACTCACAAAGATTATATAGAACTCAGTTGTCAAGTCATAAAGAAAAGAAATTTTTTATGGGAAGCAATTTTACTCTGTTTATATTAAACAAGTGCATTAAAAAGTTCCATCTATTGCAATTTATAGATTGTGAAAAAATGATAGTACCTTGCTTTCTAGTGAATGTATTTTTTGTATTCAGTAAGTAAACAAGTCATTTTGGTTTGTGTTTTTCTTTTTTACGTTCAAGTTTGTGATAAGAAAGAATTTTTCAAACCTATCACAGTTTGTCGTCAAGGTCAGCAGAAAAACTTACATCAACGCGAAATACGAGAAGGATGCAAATGTAAATTAAGCAAGCGTATTGTTACAAAACCATGTAGTAAGTATAATCAGTTCGTTCAATGAATGTTCAGACAACTTCATCTTATTATATTTTGTATAGTAACATCATCGAACACTCAACAAAAATATTCAGTGTTTCTTTTAAGTAGTAGTTCATTACGTTCTAGTTCATTTCTGAGTAGAACTGTTAGTTATTGCACAATAAATACGTAAATTATCAAATAACCTTCATAACTATAATGAGTTTTTTCATCAAAATTCACATGTTATATGTATTCAAACTGAAAAGTAATACCTATCACTACAACAACCCATTGCCATATTGTTGAAATTTGTCAAATTTGACTGTAAGTGGCCCATTGAGTATGATAATTATCATAGAATGATTTTATTAATTACTGCCATTTACAAAGCAATTTCATCTGTTAAAATATAATTACATCATTCGAAAAATGAAACAAGGTACAGTTAGTTTGAATAGGATATAGGTTATGCGAATCAACATGTAATCATACATAGAGTGAACAGTCATAAACGAGTATGTGATAATAAACATTGGATTATTTATTGGCATTTGGTTTCAATGTATGTATATGAGCATTTACAAACAGATTGATGATAGTCTCTAACCTTAATGCTGAACGACTTATGTTTCATCTCTTGAAGCAGAATAGATTTCCTCTTAAGTCATTCCTTATTGAAGATTATCGACAATAGAAGACCACTTCAAAGTAACTACTGTACAAACACAATACGATAAGCTTTTACTTTAAGTGAGTGGCCACATCATGATAGTTTACAGTTTTTACTTATCACCGTATTCACAACGTAGCTAATCTATTTACTTTTGTTCATACATTTTCTTGTTCGAAATTCAATATGTTTTTATATTTCAGCTTGTGATCCACTTGGTATTGCGGATGTCATCTTTCTTGTAGATGAAACAGTAAAGAGTAGACAGATGAATTACTCATATTATGTTAATAAAATACTAAAATATACCGTGAATGTATTTTACGAATCATCTCAATCATCAAATATAGATGAACAATTTCGTTTTGGTGTAATTAAATATTCATTAAGAGCAAATATTGTTTCTAACTTAAAAAGTTATCCAGGTTTATATGAACTATATGCTGAAATAAAGAAACTGACATTTAATGGACGTCAGTCAGATCTGAGAGTTGCGTTAAATACTGTTAAAAATAAGGTAAATTTATCTTCAACTAAATTTCAATATTATGTATTATCTTCAATGAAGTTATTTTTTTCTTTTAAGCCGTTAAGTTATAGACATATGTCATTTTACAAAACATAAGCGACTAATCAGTTTTAGTTATATCCTAGAGTTGATGCCTACACCGGACTCAAACACAATACTTTTTCACTCTGAACACCCAATATGTTATCCACTGAGGTATTAAGTTCAGATAGCGCTGAATTGTGAAACAGAGATTAATCAAATCTTCAGGAATAAAATTATGTTTATTTATTTCGTTAAGTAAAAGATATGGTTTTTCCATTTGAAGTACACTAACTTTGTTAGGAAAACGGAAAGTAAACATTTGTATTTCGTTTTCTAAATTGTTAAAGAGTTGAAAAAATGTGAGCACTTTTATTAAAATTATATAACTATAATGCGAGTAACTTCTAAACGCGTTTATTTGTACTATATTTAAATGAGGAATTGAACTCAATCAGCCATTTAAATTATCTTTATAGATCTGTTTATTTGATGGTTTCCTGTCGTTAGCAATCGGTACTTTTTCAATACATCTATTATAACAATCAGTCAAGTATTATCCGAGATTACAATTTTTGTTTTAAATTTTCCGAATATTTAAAATTTCAGATCTTATCTCAAATACGACCTGGAGCATCATTAATCTTATATTTAATCACTGATGCCGTCGTGAATCAACCTACAGGTGTTAAACAGTTGTCTGATTATTTAAAATTACATAATGTTCAAATAAATGCAATATTATTAATGTCAGGGCATATTTATCATGAAACGTTGTTTAAACAACTAGTATCTCCACCGACTGCACTTCATTTAGTAAGATTGAAAGCAATGAATGGTCAATTTGAAAGTCGTTTAAGTCGAATAGCCGATACAATTTGCAAGAAAGGTAAGTTATATAATTTGTATTATAAACATGAGGTTTCGTTGAAAAAAAAACACTTTCTGCAACAGTTCATTTTTTTATTATTTTGTTTCGCTATTATTTAGTGTGTCCAGTAAACCATAAAAAGGAAAGTCAATGTTCACGTCAAACAAATTGCATTGGACGCGTTTACAACTACATGTATCGCTACAATCCAGTTAAAGGTTTGTGTATTGGAAAGACAATAGTCGAACGCAAACAGTGCTGTAAGTATCATTCCAATTAAATCTCATTAGTTTAGAGAATTATAAAAATGATTCTAATAGTATTTTGAATAGATAGTATGTTATAGTTAGAAGTTATCGAACTGAGAGCTCTTAAATAACACAGTTATCAATACTTTTCTGGTTAACAAGTTATAAAATCACATTTAATTTCAAATAGAAATCCTATAAGACCTGTATAACAAGACCTGGCATACCATTTCAAGTATAAAGCCATTGGCTTGCATACATGTTTTCGTTTAACAGTCAAGCAAAACAATTGTCGAGGCACGCTTATACTGATCAAATTTTGTCCTGTTAATATAAAACATCTTTCAGAAGTAAACTAAACTATTAAATAAAACTATTAAATACTAACTATATAGCATACTTTGTTATGACAAAATACTTCACTGATCAAGATCTGATAAGACCTTTATTCACGTTCCAAGTGAATGTACTTCAGAAAACTGAACTATTTGCTAGTAGAACAAACAATTATTATAGTTCTTATACAAAATATTCAGTTGAGGTAGTATGATGATGAGTTAATTAAAAGAAGACGAAGTAATAATCAAAGGTGGAAATGATGTTCATGAAAAGACAACTTAGTCTACCAATCCGTCTGTTGTACTGAAATGTTGCAGCTGTAAACATCCGACTTTATGACTGCAAGTTAGTCACTGTTAAGTCAGGATCTATAAGACCAAACTTAACAACGAATATGAATATTTGGGTTACAGAACCTCAATATTTTGACTGACAATCAGTTGAGAGGAATAACATTCAGTGAGGATTGTATTTTATATAAGCTGTCTTAATATGATCCGAAATTGTATAATAGGTAATCATGTAAAGCGTTCTCATTATTTATTATATGATGATTACATTTCAGGTTGTATGCAAGAAGTTCGACGTAAGACTACATGTGAAAATAACCATTTGATTCAGTATACAGAAAATTGGCAGTTAACTACAAATGGCTTTTGTGAACAATATGTAACTAGGAGAGATGTCACTGGATTAACCATTAGTCGTAAGTACTTCTTCCTCAAACTTTCATGCACGTATATATAATCCAACAACAATTTAATTAATAAATACCCATCGAAAGAAGCATTGAGTGGAAAAGTGTTTTGAGTCCCTCAATGTTATGTGAAAAAATCATTTTTGTTTATCTATCAAATACTGACTATACTGCATAAGTTAATTGTTGTTTATATGTACATAAAATCTACTTCTCATGTTTTATACACACTGTAGCAAACCCATCAATTTTCATTTCTCTCAGATCTAATTAAGATAGTTTTCCTTTCCAGCTAGATTAGTTGGGAATTTACTTTTTAAGCAGGGATTGTAGTAGAAATCATCGTGTTTTATAGATGATTGTATAATTTACAGGAAGCTAGACTGTATTTTAGATTAAAGAGACAACTGGGCTAGCAATAAAAATGTATTATATAAACACATGTGAACTTAATACAATTAAGAGCATTTCAGTTATTGTTCTATCTGACATTTTAGTTCACGATTATTTAGTCTGTCAGCATACGACCAGTTATTACATCTTACTGTTATATCCTTTAGCAATAAATTTAGCAATTTGAAAATCGAAGCTTTAAGACAATACTTCCTTCATCAAATGAGCTCAACTGAATGTAATCACGTTTTTTCTTTGAGATAATTGTACAAGAAATTCAGTACTGTGCAAGGTCTAAATATTTTCAGACTCATTTGACTGAAAAAAATGGCACTGTTGGTTGTGTACTGAGTATCAGGTGACAATAAGAATATAAAGTGTAGAAAACATCAACGTGCTATATTTGATCTCTCATCATGAGATCCAGTAGCCGTTCATAAAAAAAGTAAACATTTATGATTGGAACCACGGAAGTTTATAAAAATAAGTGAATTATTTGATTCTTTTACTATAAAATAAGTGAATTTAACGATATTCATTATAATTTTGAAAACATTCCACTGTTATTATTTTAGAATGTACACCAGCAAATCAAACTTTCATCAAAACGTGTAATATAAGAGGTGAAGCAGTTCAAGTTACAATTTATCGCTATATGGAAAATTGTAAATGCAAGGCAAGTAATACTTTATTTACAGAAAGTGATGCACCAAGGTTTCATGATTGTTATAATTACTAGTAAAGAGACTGTAAAATATTAGGAAAACTAATGTCCTCAATAGAATTCGTAACAACATCAATCGTAATCACACAGTGATAAATGTTTGCATAACTTGGGTTTAACTTCCTCGTGTAGCATCAGGAGTACAAATGTGTCCGATTGACTAGTACATTTTAAGTCAAAACTTCGACCATAGGTTTCTTGTCTAAAAGCTATTTATGACGGTAGTAATATGTCAACCCGATTCATGCGCTTTTATTGGAACTAAGAAATCTATTACTACTTAATGATTAATTATAGTAAATACTATTACATTATTTTCATATTTAACAGATTTGATGACGAATGTCCATTTGTCAATATCAAGGTTAAACATGCTGTGCAAATGGGATAAATCAAACGATATTAAACTTTAGATGAAAGTTATATTGTGATATTACTAAATTTCGGTTTGCCTTTAACCGAAAATAGATAAGATTTGCTAGACAAAATTACTTTTGAAATGAAGATAGAACCAGTACTCAAACAATATAGTAAAAAGACAGATTAAAATTTTTCATATTAGTGCATAAAAAAGTAGATTTTCTGAAATGAGGCCTGAAGCAATGATAGGACGATTCAATATGGTTACCACATAGTTGACGCTAATGTTCATCGCTTTTAACATGTAAGAATCAAGTTAAAATTTACTTCAGCTAAAAACATTTTTATTTGGATGAAATCTTTTTTCTTGATCGATAGTCAGTGTTTGTAAGAAAATTCATGCTCCAATATTCGTTTATTAATCTACTGTTAAAATTTTTTTGACCTGTGTGGAATAGTTTTGACAAATGTAGTTCAATATGATGAAATGGCCGTCCAGTACTTCTAGATTTTCTATAGTGGTCTAGCTTCAATTGACTCATGATCCCAACCATTGAAATGTTGTACAGTTAAACATCTATGCAATATATTCGTCATTACTTTGAGAAACCTAAAAGGTTTCACACTTGGACTATTGAGACAAATATACCATAATTTTTCAGAATCTTTTGGTTTTGCTTTAACATAACGAAATCTGTCGAGTTAGAGATTTCACTCAAGAATATTATTTCTCACAAACTGATAACATTATCACAAAACACCCAAAACCACTGATATCTGTTATATATATCATTTCATAAAGTAATGACCCAATAAAACTTACCACCTTCATGTTTAACGTTCATTATAATTTATGTGAGTTAAAACGTTTTCGCAATTTATCAAATGAAATGCCATTCCTGATAAGACTAACTTTTTAATACAGATTCTTTAAAATCCAATTTTTACAACTGATTGAATTGACATTTTTAAACTTATGTACACTTTCAAATTTCTAACATTTTTAGACTAAGCAAACTGATAAAATTGTTCGGTGTCGATGTACTAAAAAGCATAACACTAAAACTTGTTTCGGTGATGATCTCATAGTTTATCATTATCATTTTGAAAGACTTCTTGAAGGTGAATGTTTACCACAACGAAGAGATGTACACAAAAAGTTGGGTAAGTAAATATAGTATTCTTTTATAAATAATCAAATTTCACATCTATTTGAATGTATTTTTACAAGAGCATATTTATAATCATAGAACGCTTTTAGTGATATAAAATCTAAAAGAAGGTAGAAGTCGAAACTCAAATGTTTCCAGTGGAAACAAGCAATTATAAATAAAACAAAAAGGACAATTTAAAGCAGGCTACAGTAGATCTCACTTTCCATTTATTTATGAATTTCAGAGGATAGACATTTTCCATTAATGTTTTATTTAGCAACCTAACATTATCATCAATCGCATCATTTGTACAACTACGATCAAATGTACGACTGAAATGTACTGCGTTAATATATCACATAGTTCTGATAATCTTTGTCTTATTATTACATTATCCAAAAAGGACAATATTCATGAATATTATTGTTCTCGGTTTAGTTAAATTTATGTATGAAGTCGATTGTATAAAGAGACAAGTATGTTCACAAAATTTTAAAAACCCAGTACCATAAAAGCATATGAAATTACAAAAATTAAATAATAAATTGCAACTGCTGGATTTCCTCCTAAAAAAATCGTTCTTCAACATATAGCATAAATCTATAGAACACACAATGAACTACCAACATCAGATCAGATAAATAAATTTATATACTGACATCTTAATGTTAAGTTGTTAAAGGTATCCGACAGAAAACGGTGAACCTAAATTTCGTGTTAATTGGTATTCAACAGGAAGACGTACCTGGAAGCTTGAAGAAGCTGATGCTCGTTGTGTGACTTGAACCCGCGTCACAACGTATCAGTGGTTTCGAAGTTAGAGCTCAGATTAGTGGTCATATCGCAACTTGATCAACAGAATTCGATCAACAAGAGGGGCCAGATAAAGGTGACATAAGAAGATCATTCAGTTCAGATCTTTCAGTTTTAAAGGTTTAATATCATGAGTAAGAAAAGTCATCAGTTAAATCAAAACTGCGAATCCAAAGTACGGTATTAATGATTCATGAAGACAAACAAACACATAATTGACAAACGTGAAAAGATCAAGAATAAAAATAAAATCAAAAGTGATACACTGAGACTATGATCATATCTGTTGACAATTAAGGCACTTACATGTGATAACCTATCTTTAGAATAAATAATAAGGTCAATTATTAAGTGTTATTTTTTTATTGCCATTCAAGTCAGAACCAATTCGATCATTAATACTTATCTGACAAATCCACATATCAAGATGGGTTTTGTGGAGAGTTTATACAAATTTCATAGGTTGAAATCATGAGTGGATTGAAGCTAGACCACCATGGATAAGGTGGAAGCACTGGACGGCCGTTTCGTCCTAGTATGTGACTCCTCAGAAGTGCGCATCCACGATCCCGCACCGTGCGGGATTTGAACCCAGGACCTACTGGCTTCGCGCTCGAGAACTTAACCACTAGACCACTGAGCCAGCATCCAATGGTGTTAATGTCTAACTTCAAACAATCCACGAAGTTTCGCCACCGTACACCATTGTCTTCAGTGAGTTGTTATCTCACAACAGACCTGGTTGAACTCCACTGGTAACGGCTTCTCACTTGAACTCCAGGAGTTTTTTCTGAAGTCAGTCACTAGTGAGCAGTTGATTATTATCAGAATGAGTTTTATGGAGAGTTTTAGAAATTTCACAGGTTGAAATCCACATATAGCATAAGTCGCTTATTATAATAGATTAAATGTTGAATATAAGCGAATTAGGTATCCACAAATTGTTTTATTTATCACTCATAAACTGAAAAGATTTAAATACTCAAAATCAATAAAAATCGTTCGTTAACTATTATGTTACTGAGTCCTGAAAGTCACTAGACATTTTTTACGGTGTAGTAAATTTATTATTATTTGTAGTGGGTTTAGACTGCATCAACTTATTGCTTCAAATTATAAATGCAAACAATATCTAGATGTACATTGAAGCAGCTTAAATACTAATGGAGGCTTACATAATTCAGTCCGGAATACCGACTACAGAAAAAATTGATGCCTTAAAATTAAAAGAATTACTTGTTATACCTCGATTAATTTATATGTTACGTTGTCATCTTCCATGTGATTCATTTCGAAATTTTTATTTCTATTAAAATTGATGAGTTTTTTTTTTAACTTAGCTTGCAAACGTCCAGAAATATCCAAATCACCTTGTGATTCTTTAACATGTCAGGAGCGTATAACAATAGTTAATTATGTTGCTCAAAGATGTATATGTAAACGTTTTGTAACGGTCAAACATCAAACATGTTGTAAGTCAATTTGTATATTTAACCATAATTCAAATGCTTTGTTGTTGTTGTTGTTGTTCATTTTACTGATCGTCTTTTTAACTTGTAAAACCATTTATGAAAAAATTTGTTTATTCATTATTATGTAGATGTAACTATTAAATTATTTCAGAAGTACTTATGATTAATAAATGTAAATAAAAAACTGGAGTTTTAACCAGATGTAAAATTATGTATATCATCTAAATAGACTATTATTAATGATATGAAACTTTATAGAATTCGCTGGAACGACATTTGTAGGATACGTCCAAACCACTAAGGTCAATGTTTCAAGATGGTGTCACAAATTGCCGAACACACGATGCCAAACCTCTGCCACTGGATGTCACCAATCTCTCGGAGGCAACCATGATCAAACACGGAGAGTCGTCTAACATCCTCATCTCGGAGAGTCCAGGTTTCACAATCATACAGCAAAACTGCTCTCACTAACGCTCTGTAGATTCAACCTTTTGCAGCCAAACTAATATAGTAAATGCGCAAAAAATGGCTCAAAGTGGCATAAGCCGTTCTGGCTTTCACTATACGTAAATTGATATCATCACTCACGCCACCACTACCACTTATGCAGCTACCCAGACACATGAACTTCTCGACTACCTATATCAGCTCACCGCCCAGGATGAGTGCAGGACCAGGGTCCTGCCAGTCCTTTAAAAGTACTTTGCACTTCAAGGGTGCAAAGCATATACCATACCTACGGACAGTAACTGCCAACTGATTAAATGCAATTTATATATCTTTGGTATCATCCCAAAGTAAGACGATATCATCTGCATACTCAAAGCCGAAAAATCTTTCTCTAGGCAACATTCACATCATCATTCCCTACATACATCAGAGCTGGTTTGAGAACGTCATCAGTAGCAAAGTTGAAGAGGACTAGTTGGATTAAGCAACCCTGCCTAATTTCACTAATTGAATGGAACAATGGAGAGAAGTGGTTGTATGTTCTCATTCAGCCTGAGGTGTTTGTATGTAGGGATTCCAAGATGTCAACAAACTTCTCAGGCACACTTCTTCCATAAACAATCCCAGAGAACATTTATGTCCAACGAATCAAAGACAGCCCTGATGTCAAGAAACATTACGTTTGTTGGTATGACGGTTTTCTAACATTTTTCGAGGGTGCAGATATGATCAATACATCCTTGACCAGAACGAAAACCAGCCTGCTCCTCTCGGGTCAATCTTCCTCGGGTTTTGAACAGTCTACGAAGTATAACTGAAGCCAAATAGTTTGGACACAATCGGATGTAGACTTATCCCCCGATAGTCATGGCAGAAACGACGTGAACCTTTTTTGAGGATAAGGCCTACTATCGACTCATTCCAAGATGTTGAAACACTCTCTAGCTGCCAGACCTTTGTAAACAACTTAGTCAGTCCTTAAACCAGAATTTCGCTACAACATCTGGGCCTTGTGACTTGTAGCAGTTGAAGACTTGAAGTCCCTTGCGGATTTCCGCCTCGTTAGGTGGATCAGTTGTCACTGGCTAAGAAGTATATGGCAGTACTTTGGTTTATGAAAACGGAGTTATGTTAATAACCACCACGAAAAATTATGTATCAAAGCTGAGCACAAGAATCTTTTGTGAATACTTGGTTTCCCGAATTAATTTGTTAATCACTGATTAACATGGAACTTCATTTCTCATGCAATTCACCGTTCAGAATGTCCAATTAATAACAACTATTAGAGATTATTATGGTCATCCATAAGAAAAATTTAGTAATGATTACGATTCTAAATATTACAAACATCATTCCCTGAGATAAGTGAATATTTATAGGTCAGCCAGCTGATTACAGTACAGTTTCCGTTCATTATATGGTTATGTTTCCATAAAATAATGGCAAAAAATTGGCTCTTGTTAAAGAATCATTTTCAATAACTTTATTGCATAAATATGTTATGGTTGAAGAAAAAATATATTAACGCCATAACGTCCTAAATTTCATAAATACAAAGTAATCATGGTTCTTCAGTAAAACTGATGTTATGTAGAGCAGTATATTCTTGGCCATGATCACAGCGTTTGCTTCTGTATTTTTCCAAGCCACTACACAGTTAACCATATGGAAAGATTAAATGAAGTTTTTCATTTCACCTTCAGATAGTAAAGTTTCTTTTTATATTTCTAAATTCATTAACTAAGGCTGTAAGGGAAATCGTACATCAAATTATGTTGGTTGTAAACACAACGATGTGAAAGTCTTCGAAGAGAAAGTATTTGATCCTAAAGTTCGTGATGGTTCTTGTGTTCAACGAGTTTCTTATTATTTTCAACCAATAAGTGAGTTATTATTTTATTAATTTTTTTAAACTGAATTGCATATGTCTTAGGAATTAAACTTGTATTGTAGAGTTTTATATAAAATATATCAGTAGTGAAATGAAATATTCGTTCACTATGTTCTGAGTACTTGGTCAAGAATCTTTAAAACACTTTTTAGGTATGGTAGAATCACAAAGTAAATAGACATATACACTATTCTGGGAGATTGGCCTGTGAGAACACCATATGTCTCATACTGAAAGAATCCTGCGTATTCAGGTACATCAGTAAACTCTTCAGGAAACAATATTATGAAATTCATCAAATTACATTTGTCATTTAAGATGGGCAGACCATTTACCTAGTGCTGGGTGAATTATTAACGTTCACATGTTGTTATAACGTTTCATATTGTTTTTTAAAAAGACAGCAACCAATAACTTCCTTTTTAAAACTACCCATTTTATTGGACGAAACGAGATAAAAAACGTTTTAATATAAAAAATACAAAAGTCACCGTGATGTAAATGTTATTAGCTCAAATAGGTGGTCCAAGTCGAATGGATAGTAAGGCCTTCTTTTATATTGAGATCGGTAGAAATTAGCAAATATAATGAAGGATTCTACTACTCGCCTTTCTTCGACGTCGGAGAAGACTATTTTGTATTATTTTGATATTTTCCATTTCGACTTTACGAGTATTGAAGATGCCATAAATTGTTACTCCTGATCTAACTTTTAATTTCTACAAAGTTATAAGTTGGTTTTTTGTGTACCCAAGATGTTCTTTGGCTCGATTAAAGATTTCATGAGACAAATTTCCTATATTGAAGGCACCTCAATCAACACACCCAAATTTGTATACACTATTCTATGTTGCCATATTATCTTTTATATGAACTAAGACATTCCAAAGCGAGTTCTTTGTTTTATTATGTGCTTTGACTCTGTGTTGTTTTCAGACTCTTCGGAGTTCTGTTGTGTCATTACAGTACAGTAAAAATGCGGTAACAGTTTACGATAGTTCATTCGAACGATTACTTGACACTGAGTTGTCTCGTTTTAATGGATTTTTAATAATATTCATAGGGAAATCATTATATTGTAAAAAGTTAATTATGTACTTCTGTTCTTTTTGTTTATCCTTTTCAGATGTAGTACGCTTGTCGTCTCTTTTAAAGAGATTTAGGGCCAGAGAGATTCATGCACTGGATGATGTACTAATTTTGAGTCAATATAATGATTAGATTGTGTTAGTTTTCAGCAAATAGTTAGATGTAGAGCTCCATCTTAATCTATTTTAACGAAGTAACCAAAAAATGGTAGCTCGTCATGTTTATTTTCATTTCCGTTAGTAGTTTAAAGTAGGATGGTAGTTTCGTTTTGCTTCCATCTCTTAAAGAAATGACAATCCAAACTCGTACCACATAATTACTAAACAAGTACTAATCATCAACTAGTTTTACACTTTTAGTGTGTATACATTACAAAGATTAATCAGTAAGCATTCGAATTCAGATAAAAAGAATTACTATCGATGATGTTTTATTTATATACAGATTATTCTTTTTCATGAGCCATAGATTGTCTTAAGATAAAATCACTTGAATAATCTCAACACTAGTTCTTATCTTCTACTTTACTTACAATATTGCAATTACTATCTGTGCTTTTTCTACATTTATTTAAGCTTGTCCAAATAAACCATCAATAACTTATCATAGTTGTCGACGCTTTAATGTTGAAGATTCTGTAAAACAAGGAAATTATGCAAATGATCGGGTTGATCCTGGTTTAATCTACAGACTAGTTGAAAAAGTTACATGGAAAATCCAAGATTGTGATTGTCGTCGGTATTATGAATCATATTTTGAAGCATGTGGTTGTGATGAATCTGTTATCATTAATAATTTTGTAACAACCAAGAATAGATGTGATCAACAAACTGGAGCAATAATGAATTACAAACAAAAAGTGAGATTAGAAATTGTTGGAATTCCATATGAATATACCAAATTAAATCGACTGAATAAATTATCTGATGCCAAATGTCGTCCATATTATGTAATAGAATCTGTGAGGAAAATAAGTACGTATTTCTACATAACATTTCATTTGATCACTTTTGTCTTACTTAACATACCTCCGCAAACAAAAACTTTACATCCTTAGTTCATGAATACGTTTGTACTGATCGATGGTCTGTTCAATATTAGGGAAACTGCATAGCTTTAGTTGGAATTTTCACAAGACTTGGTTTTTTATAGGTAGATTATTTGAACTGATACGATTGATTAATATTAGTAATTCTGATATCATACTAGTCGAATAGTTAAATAATTGTGTTATATGCTAACGAAAAATAAACGAATGGTAACTGCTAGGAATTATATATGTATATATATATGATAACTGTTAAGTAACTATATTATATGTATATTCACATTCCTTCCATTTGACCTATTGACTACTACTATACGATTTACAGTCTCTCATAATCACAGCTTTTTTTGAGTTTGATCTTGTATAATCGTCATTTTCTGTTTTATGATATGATGCGGTTTAATTTATCTGCAGATAAACTTAGTATGCCTGAAATACATGATTCATATTGTGAAGGCTGATTTTGGTGTTCTGGACTGAACTGGCTGGGTTAGGCGAGAAACTAATATTTCAGAGGACCAGTAGCAACTCAGAGTTGACTCTAGGTTACTCGTACTGTTTTATGCGTCACTGGTTTGGCACAGTTTCAAGGTCGTATAACCCGGTGTTCTGATTGCCTATTTAGTCACGTGATATATGCCGGGGCTTAGGACATAACAGATCGGACGCAGAGTTCATCCAGTTTTTCATGCTTTTCCATCGTTCAGTGATGTAAACTATAAAGTCGTTTCAGTAGTTTAGATATAAATACTTAACAAGATGAATGAAAAAAGATTCTTCAACTTATCAAAATAATCCTCCTTTGTATAAGAAATACTTCCAACTGTTTATAAGATTTTATGATAAAAAACAACTCATTAATTTCGAGTCCACCGAATGTTTGCATCCTTAAAACAAAATTTACATCTGGGTACATATTGACCATGGAAAATTATTTTCAGTAGTCTTAGTATAATCATCAACAGTTATTCTAGTTTCATTGATCTGCTAGAAATACAATAACTACCAAACACTTTCTATGTTTTAATATTTTTAGTCTGTCCTGAAACCCAAACTTCTATTGGTCCATGTGAACCTGCTGAAAATGGTCGATCATACAGAGCCATCAAAGTGAATAGATGGAAACAATCCAACTGTGTCTGTCAAAATTTACCACCAATATTAATAGAAAAACAAATATGCAGCTGTCTTCCTGTTCGATTACAAAAGAAATGTGTTGGTTATAAAAATAAACTACAAATTTATGTTATTAAAGAAAAACTTATCAAAACTAAATTATCGTCTGGTAAATATAAATATGAATGTAAAATAGAACAAACAATGAAAGAAAATATTATCCGTAAGTAGTCTTAAAACCGAAATACTGTTGGATATTTACTTTATAACAATACTCGGTAAAACTATGTCATACTTATGATTTTTGGTTATTTGGTGATTTTATATATAGTTGAATTGATGAGTCAATTGAATCTAGACAACTATGGATAACCTGGAATCACTGGATTTCGTTCGAAATAGATGTTGATAACTACATTTGTCAAGCGTTTTTTAAACCGAAAAGGATATCGTCATTGAACAGCAACAACAACATGTCCATGGTTCATTTTAGTCATATTTTCATTTCACATTTACAATTATTATTTTTCTTGTTGTTTTTAAAAAAAATCGAGTTAAGAAATCGATCTTTTACTTCGAGAAAATGTCTATGTCATCTTGAACTGTTGTTATTGTAATTACTGATTTCATTGCTATAGTGTAACTGCCAGGAAATTCACCATTTTACCAAGCGAAATAATAGCAACTTCTCTCATCTTTCTTGCCGTTCATTACGTTATAATCTGTATTGATTAGTTCTTTCCTATATAAATTGAACATGTATGATTATAGAAGGTAATTCTAATCACTCTTCGCCAATAGACCTAACTATTTAATTAATGATTTGTATGAAATAGCATTTCTTAAATATTTTATTTATTAGTTCCATGCTTATACTTAGAAGTTTAGAGGAGACAAAATTAAGGTAATTTACAACACCCTACATTATCTATTGTGTTTGCGAAATAATTTGAAAATATCAGTGATCAGAAACAACAAAAGTTCTTGTAGCAAAGACTATGAACAAAGATGTCAAATAGTTGTAAAGTGTTCATAGAACAAGGTTTTAGAAATTTCTAATAAACTACACTGCTATAAAGATCGAGGGTCCGGGGTCCGATTCCCTCATGTGGGATCGTGGATGAGCACTGCTGAAGAGTCCTATACTAGGACGAAACAGCAGACTAGTGTTTCCAGATTTTTAGTGGTGGTCTAGCTTAAATCGACTCATGAATTCAACTGTATTGGTTTATGTTTTCTTTATCCTAATAGCGATTAAATTTTATATTCAATTTTTCTAGAATGTCCAAAAAATATTCTTCACTATTCCGAATGCAAAAATGGTAAAATGAAAGTGATGGTTAAAGTTTACAAAGTTCATAATTGTAAATGTCAAGAGTCTATACGACGTTTACAAGTACAATGTAATAAACGAGAAAAATCGAAAAATATCAAACAAGTTGAACCTAAATCACCGAAACATATCTTAACTACTGTAGAACAAATTATAGAATGTATTGATTTACTTCCTTCTGAAAACTGTCAACAAATTAGTCGATCATCACAACGTATCTGTGAGAAATCTACTCGATTATCTGATTTACTATGTCGTCGAACATGTCGTCGTTGCTTAGGTACGTTTTTTTATTGAGCTTATTATTTAATTTATATAAGTTTATTATTGTTATATCCGGACGATGAATAAATAAATGGTAACCGTTAGGAATTATTTATGGACTAATATTTTACATATATTCCTATTGTATAACAATTCTTTTCACTATAAGCTTTTATTTGACCTATTGACTATTATCATATGACTTAACATTCTTAAGAGATTCCCAATTTATTAGTAAAAGTCTCTAACAATCACAGTCACTTTTCTCCTTGATCATGTATAATTGTTATTTTCTGTTTTATGTATGTCTGAATTATGATTCGTATCGTGGAGACTGATTTTGGTGGTCTTGACTAAACAGGATTGATTAGGAGAGAAGCTACTATTTCAGAGGACCAATTAGAACTCTAGGCTGCTCGTACTGTTTTATGTGTCGTTAGTCTGATCGTATAAGCCAGTATATTTAATTGGCAACCATATTACGTGATAATTGATGGGCAAAGGACAAAACTAATTATTAATTTTCAATTGAGTCAATCTAAAGCCTATTCAAAAGTACTCAAAACATTCTCATACAACCAACAGTATTTACACCTTGAACTGTTGTAATAATAATAAAAACGGGAAAGAGTAGAGGCTATCACGTTACAAATCTATGCAATATTGTTTACCACATTTGAAATTATTCAGTTACTAAGATCACGAACCAACTTACCTTAAATAACCATTAAAAATCGGAAAGCAGTGAGACTCCCCAGCAGCGAATATCCATGACCTCATAGGGAATAGTGTTTATGACTTTCAGGTTCCGTGTCGATAGCTTAAACTTTAGACCATTAAGTTCGTATCCGATGATTTGTACGTCAAAATTTAATTCATTTGTGATGACCACTTTTATTCTCTCCCATTTTTTCTAAAGGTTGTGAATTGAGCAATATCAGATATCAAATGATCAGTGCAAATTACCCATGTCCTGAAAATGATCAACATATTTTGAACAATTTTCTAATTAAAAATATATCAACAGCATTTACATTAGCTTCATGTAAATTAGCTTGCGCTAATAAAGCTAACTGCTTAAGTTTCATTTATTCTATGTCACATGAGTTTGATTCAAATATAATTGATAAAACTGCCAAATGTATGTTGTACAGAGTAGATCTTTTAGCTATCAAGCAACACCATCATGAACAAAAACATCAAAAACATTTGACTGGTATTATTCTACAACAAACTAATCAGCGATTCGATTCAGTCTTTTCGCCTATGTATACTAAACAGTGTTTTGCATTCCGTAAAATTTGCAAACACAGTGAGTTCAAAAATATTTCTTATAAAGTATATGATAAAAATTTTCCCGTAAAAAGTTGTTTAATGTCAGTATATACAGTGAGCAATCATGATCAACCGTTTTTAATCAAGTTGAGGAGATTATATTATTTCTGTTATTTAGAATGAGATCTATGTGACATAATTTGATTGATTCAACGTAAAGGCACTAAATGTTTCAGACTTACTTAATGTTATGTCCTTATTCTTTTCTGATCAACCTGTATTTTTTTGTGTATTACTTTATGCGACTTATTAATATTCAGTATATACTTCTATTCCTAACAATTTCTACACGTATGTTGTACAGCAATCTTTTCATTTAATATTCTAAAATACTTATATATACTCATAACATGTTTGTTTGCTGTTAATTCCCTAAATGAGTATTGATAAACTTTTATCACGATTCGACACAGCGGTTATTCACACTATCTTATGTCATAATTATTCTTTATGTTATTACAACAGGAAGCCCATTTTCTTTCAGATTTACGAACGCTCTAAGCGCAACAGATGCCTCACTAGCTGAGGTTTGTAACCAATTTATGTTTATTCCTCAGTAAAGAATTGCCTTTTAGACAAATTGTTGTTTTATAAACTTTGGTTTCGTGCGTATCTCAGTCGTGTGGTTGGACGCTTCGGTAGATTTATCGCTTAGTATATTTGTCATTTTAGTTCAATGGATCTCTATAACTTATTGTTGGTTATCATAAAACTAACTTCCGCTAAAAGTTGTATTGTCTTGACTTTACAAGAAGAGTTTAGTTACTAATGACACTTTAATTACTATTTTATCGTACGTTTAGTATTAATTATTAAAGTGATTACAAGGATACCGTAATTTTTTGATAATTCTGAATTCTCTGCGGTATGTGATCCTATTGCAAAACTCTTTTACTCGTTCTGGATAAAATCATTAGCTCATATGTCAAATAGTGTTGAACTTCCGGTCAAATTATTTTAATTCCATACTTAAATATTATTGCATTATTTAAGCATTTCTCAAATATCCTTAATGGTAATATTTCCTGGATTATTTATCATAATAAAACTTTTTGATGCAAAAACACTAAGGTAAATGAAAGACTTTATGATAATATTGGATAAACAAATTATTATGTAACATAATTGAATTACTCAAAAGATGATTGTTTCTTAAACCAACTAAACGTGCTACGAAATCCTTTATGGATTATATTCCCACTAGTAGTTTCATATTGGAGCCATACTTTTTAAAATTCATTTAAATATCATTGATTGGATGAGTGTGTGAATAGTGTGATTATATAAATCTAAGTATTATCAGATAAAGATCAAACAAGTACTCTGTTCTCACTTATTATTGTTTTCAATAATCAATAGTCATTAACTGGTGACCATTTTAATCATTTTTCAACAGCTTGTTCAAGCCCAAAATTGACAGAAATTTCAAAATGTGAATGTAAAGTTTACAAAAACCATTATGACTATCCTTCAGAGTCACCGAAGTTTAAAACTTCTTTACACTGCTCTAAACGTATTAATGTTCAATATTTCATTCAATCGAAATCGGGTATTTGTCAAGAACAAAATTGGCAAGGCTATACTCCCTGTAGTAATCCAAGATATCGTGATTTATCATTAAGGAATTCAAATAACTGTAATAATCTAAAATCATCTTTATGGTGTGAAGCGGAGCTAGCGAATGATCAAAGGAGGTGCAAAGATGCAGTGTTCAGCAGGGTAAAAATTATTTTGTTAAATTAATTGTGTATATTTGTGAACTTTTCTGGGTTTTTTAAAAAATAATTTTGTTGTTTATCATGAAAAAAGAAATTGGTCTAAACAATGTTAGGATACAAACGTTTGAGATTCAAAACAAACTTTACTCTTTTCCATTATCTCAATGTTGATCACGTGGTATTAATTATCAGTATAGGCTTGTGGAGATTATTAGGTTTTTGACTAAGATGATGAAACGATTGATAATTACCATTTGCTCACTAGTGGCTAGCTTCGTGAGGGAATTCTCGGAGATATAGTGAGAAGCTTTGACTAGTGGAGCTAATTCATGTCGGGTAGAGACAGTTATCTACCTCAGTACAATGGAAGATGGTCGCGTAGTTTCGTGGATTGGTTGAGGTAAGATATTAACACCGTTGAATGCCGGCTCAGTGGTCTGGAGCTTAAGCGTTCGAGTGCAAGATTGATGGCCATGGGTTCGAATCCCGCGAGCGGGATCGTGGACGCGCACTGCTGAGTAGTCACACAATAGAACGAAAAAGACATCCGGTGTTTCCAGATTTTCAATGGTGGTCTAACATTAATCGGTTCGTGATCTCAATCAAAAACATGGTATTAAATTCTAATCTCCTTGGTTTTGTGTAAAATGACTAATTTGATTAAAATAAAGTTACTTAAAGAGAGAACAGGCACTTAATGGAGAATAAATTCGGAAATCAATTATTTAAATCAAAAGAATTATATCTATTGGAAAATATAGCATTAAAAACATTATAGATCATCAAATGGTTCCATTGACATTATACCAAACTTCCTTTGTTATTCATTTAATGAATAAATTTATAGCAACAGAAATTAATATTTCTTTACAATAATTGACTTAATTTATTAGTATATACTTGGTGAACATTTCAGATCATTATTGCTATATGAGGATTATGCCCAATTTTCTTCTACCAGATTCATTATGTTGAAGGATATCTTTCTTTGATACCCATTACTATTAGAGAAAATGTTATTACTTTCACAATATATTGAGGTATGGTTATCATTTCCTTGCAGAGATGTAATCTATGAATCTAGAAATTCGACTATAAACCATTATGTGATGAATTCACATAGATTTCATATATTTCGATCTGTCTCATCAATTGATACCGTAATGATTCATGGATTATTATCTTTATTTCGATAATGCAATGAGAAGACGTAGTTTATCAGAATTATGTGATATATTTGCGCAATACATTTCGAACAATCTGATCACACATATACTTGTTAAGAACATTTATATATGAAAAATTAAAAGGTCAACTAGACAGGTTAAGGGTAAGTCATAACAAAGGAAGAATATTAAAGTACACAAAAACAAATGTGATTACCACTGGATAGTAAATCGGTACTACCAGGGTAGGTTAAGTGTAAGTACAAATTGTTTTTGAACACATAAAGGGGGTTTCAATTTCCGTATAGCCAAGGCTTCAATAAACCTTAGTATACGTCCTTGAAGGCTTTTGTACAATACAACAAATGCTGATTTCATATCAACCTTATGACCCGTCTCAATCAAATGTTTCGCAATGGATGATGATGTCTGTCTATCCTGTGATCTTATTTCACCATTGGAATTGTATTGCGCAAATATATCACATAATTCTGATAAACTACGTCTTCTCATTGCATTATCGAAATATTATCTTTATGTAAATATATATGTTCTTGTTAAGTTGTACGATATTTATAGATCTGTTTATGTTGCAAGTTATTAAAGGGTTTCTTTGACTTATTATCTTTTGACAATATAATAAAGAGTAAATCTATGTTTTACATTTTATACCATGTCTTTTATTAGTTATGCTCTAAAACATGTGGCTTTTGTACCTGTTATGGTATAAATATATTCAACGGAAAATGTAATTCAAATGGATATAAATTAAATACTTATATAATTTATAAGCCTCATCCAATTAGTCGTATATGTATTATTGAAGTGAAAAAGCGTTTGTCAATTTGTGAATGTAAGTTACTTTTAATTTATTTTCCTAGAATTTATTTTAATTAAATAATATCAATCTATTATTAACTTTATAATAATTACTTCTTTCAATTTGACAAGATTAAGAGATTCCGGGAAAAGAAAGACTTAAATCTCAAAATTATCTGTATTATTAGTAACTGAATAATCACATAAAAATTAAATTACAAACGTTTGCTAATCTATAACTTTAAGAGGTTTTGGCTTTCCGATGTTGGGATTCAGCATTGCTTAAAAAACTACAGCTAGAATCCATGTGCTTCTTACAGAAGTGTCTTAAATAAGACGACACGGAATTCTTGAATTCCACTGTTAACCATTGTAGAAAATGGCGACAATTATGTTGTTGAAATTTCCTTCAGTAGTAAATACACATTTCAGGATGGGATATAGAATCCGTAAAATGTACAATAATCACACATACGTACGATTAACTGAATTTAAGTTGAATAACTATGGGATTTTGTGGTCGCTGTAAACTATTAGTAAGATTTTTTTCAAAGTTACTTCATTGTTTCTTTTATAAACTTTAATTTTCATATTACCCCATAAAAAGAAACTTAAATTTACCTAATATTCCATTTTCAGACTGTCCGATTGGAACATTTGAGCATGTACATGAATGTGATAAACTAACTAAATCACGCACAGTTAACAAAATTACTGCTAAGCTAATTAAAATTTCACCAAATATTGACGGAAAACCACGATTCGAATGTTCGATTCAAACAAAAAACTTTAAATTTGATTGTGGCAAATGCTTAGCTGCATACAGAAACAAATATTCAATAACTTCTTGTAAACAATACCCAATGAAATCAGCACAAATGAAATCGGTTTATCAGCTTAATTTGATTACAGAATATGTGATCAGTGAGAATGGTTGTTGCAGAACAAAACGGTAATCAATTTTTAATTATGCTAATCGATTAAATTGTATATAACCTTTACTTATTTTGATAGCTTAGAATATTTTGTTGATTTTATTTAATATTTTATTCAAAGACGTTTTTACGCTAAACTGAATCAATCGATGGCTTAACTATTGTTAATAACATTATTATTCACTTCAGATTATTCATCTCCGCATGTACTGGTAATTTTGCAAGCGAAACACATTAACACATCTATCGCTTCTTATAATAGGCATTTGAATTTGTAGAGAAATGTTTCTTAGTAATTCTACTGGTTAATCTCACGGGAAGAGGTCGTGGATGCTCACTGTTGAGAAGTCCCATACTAGGACGCAACGGTCGTCCACTACTTCCAGGTTTTCTATAGTCGTCTAGCTTCAATTAACTCATGAATTCAACTAGTAAATTAATATAATATCCACAAAGCCCCTCACAAATTACTAAACCATCTAGATAATATTACGTATAATCCTATCTTTATTAGAAGGGGTTTAGTGGAGACTGCTTTAGAACTTTCAATAGTTGAAATCATGAGTCTGAGTTCGAATGTCGCAGTGTGCGGGATTGAGGATGAGCACTGCTGAAAAGTTACATACTAGGACGAAACGGCCATCCAGTGCCTCCAGGTTTTCCATACTGGTTTAGCTTTAATTGACTCATAATTTTAACTATTGAAATTTCGAAAAAAATCTCCATAAAACCCCTTCTAATAATAATCATCTGCTCACTAGTGACTGACTTCAAGCGGCATTTCCTGGAGTTCTAGTAAGAAGCCGTGACTAGTGGAGTTCAACCTGGTCTGTTGTGAGATATCAGCTCACTGAAGACAATTGTGTACGTTGGTGCAATTTCGTAGATCGGTATAATCTTATCTACTAAATAATTCAGAAACATTTAGTTGTAAAGTAGAAATACTTATTCGAATGATTTCCCATTGGAATGCAATAGTATTTAAAGCATTTACTGATGTATTATTATGAACTGCTTAATACTAAAATTGAAATTCATTTATATTTTCAATGGAGATGTAAGTTAACATGATGAAAAATAAGTCAAAGTGTAATAATTCACTTGTATCAGTTAATGGTATCCTTCAAATTCTAATCATAAGTTGAATCTCGTCACATTTTTATGTTATACATTAAACTCAAGATGTTAGAAGCATTAGATTTCATGTTGTGTTATAACATAGATTAAATAAATAATCAGTAACCATAAAATGTTTATAAACAAATAACAAAATGTTTTCTTAGAATTTCTAGTTTGTTCGTTTTTTTTCAAAGGAATGACTAGTTCAGTTTTACTTCTTAACCATTACATTTGAATTTTAAGTAACTTAAATAACTAGATAATATTGATTCAACGGTAAGTAATCAGCTGATGATAACAATAACTAAATTTTTCATCTTGTTTGTACTCGTTAATAAAATGTGTATCAAATTTTGAAACAACGCATACTTTGATTTATTTTATGAGTTTAGGCCACTGATTGGATCATTTGAAAGGAGAACTTTTCCTAATCATTAGTTTAATTATTTGAGTCGTATTGTAACAAATAATATTGAAGTGGACAGAACACGGGTGGGGACAATTGAATGTATCTAACACAAAATGGCAGGACTTGTTAATGAAATCTGACAATCATAAAGTAAATGCTTAATATGCAAAATGTCCACCAGTTGTCTCAAAATGACTCAGGCTTCATTGTTCTTGCATTTTCATACAAATTGCATTCTGTTTCCATTCTTTACTGTTCGATCTTCTTGTCTCTCTACTGCCGGACCTTCTGTTCACGACTAACATCATATACTACTTATGTCAATATAACTAGCACATACCACAATACTAACTACAACGGTTTAGCGAACTACTACCATTTCTTAAAAGTCATTTGATTTGACTGCATACTTTTATAGACTTATCCTTAAAATAAAATACAGACTACTTATATCTGGATGTTTTACATTGTTTTAAGTAGTTTTATATATTTATCGATTGACTAAATATCAAAATAGTATGAATCATTTCATCTTTTATCTAAAGATATAAACAGTAATACAAAGTAACATATATAAAGTTGTCATAGCCTTTTACATTAAGAAATATTCAATTGAACTTATATATTGTAATAATTTGTCATTAAAAGTATATTGTTCATTATTAATGTTTCTTGTAATATCTTTTAATTTTTATTAAAGAACTGAAAGAAGATTTAATTGTGAAAATTGTCCATTACCTCGAATTAAACATAGTCCATGTTACAATAACCAAAGATTAAAACATATTATATTCTATACTCGACCATGGGTTACTTCATCTTTAAAACCAAATGAATGTATTCAACGAACAATAACTAAACGTGAGAAATGTTCGGTAGATCATCGATTACCTAAAGGTATGATAGCTTTTTTTTAAAACGTAAAACTTTTTCTCCATTTCCTTATAGATCAGATTACTGTAGTGAGTATAGATGTAATCGCTTGAAACATTTAAAATTATAAACATATTTGGTATATGTTGTTATTGGTTATTTCATTTCCAATCTTAAAACATTGTCAATAAACAAAACATCATTAAAATCAAAGTTTCTTTTTGACAGAATTATGTTCTCTTAGCTGGATGGTTTGATCGTGAAACTTTGATTGTTCTTCTGAACGACATTGTCAGCACAAACTTCAGATAGAAGTGATTTCTAAAGTTTCTTCAAATGATATCCCTTTACAATGAAGACTTGCTTACAATTCACTAGCCATACTTATTTAGAATAGCAGGATATGAAATTTTTTTGATGTGATATTAGTTTGTTATCAAAGAACATTTGTGAGTAATAAGAGTGTGAAATTATTAAGTGAAGTACAATAAGTAGCAATTACATGAGAGTATTAAAGCAATGACTAGGAGTTAAAAAAAAAATTACGTGAATATACTATGGATTAGTAACATTATTCCACCTCAATTTTACCATTAATTTGATTAAACAATTGTTAAAAATTACCCAGTAATATGTATTCCTAACCCACCAAGAAAATACTGTTAATTTGAATTCACTCATCAGGAGCGATTATAAGTAATCATGTCACATTCCAATATTTAAGTTCTATTTGTTTGTAAAGTGATTAGGTTTATTTTCCTTCAGTGTGATGTTGAATAACTTGTTTAAGTGTGGGTGTTAGATATTCTTCTAGGAACTAAAGTAAGTGACCATGTAGCCAAACACGGACATTATTAGATAGAAAATACATGATAACTAATATGGAGCAAAGTATGCTGTAGAAGCACAGGTATCTTTATCCATTCGTTTTTTGAATGTTTAATTAGTTCACACTCTCTAGCTCCATCAAATATTTTTCCTTTCATTTAGAAGGTAAACGCTGCATATGAGAATGTAATTTTCAGTGGAGTTTTCATTTTATACACCCGAGGTTGCACACATGTCTGTTATGGACATGTCAGTGTAGTGTAACCCAATATGTTGGGGGAAAATTATAAATACGGTGAAAGTTAGGGATTGAAATGAAATCGTCGATAGTGAAATAATCTCGTTTACTTAACATAGAGAAAACTGATCCAAGAACTCTCATTAAAATTCTATCCGCTCAAAACTCAAACTAGCTCTCAAAAAAAAAATTTCCCACATTCGTAAATTTGAAAATGTCTTTAATGGAGTTATAACTAATTTAACAACTTAGTTCCTCGTTTGAATCACCTAGTTTTACAAATTTATAGGCTCTATAATTGCTCTTAGAAATCACATAAACAGAAAACATAACAAATATTAACAAAGTGATTTATTTGACAAAATTAGTGTACATAAGACAAAAATATCTTTTCAATTATAAACTTTTCTTGTTATCCCCATCATTCAGTCATTTTTTTAATTTTGTTTTCTACAGATGAATGCCGGGATTCATTAACACGAATGGATTGTAGTGTATTAAAGCAAAGTAGAAAATGCCATCTGAATTCAGAGGAAGCTCGTAGTCTGTGTGCCAAAACATGCGGCTTCTGTAATTGAGCAATAAGACAATAATAGTACATTCATTCAACTAGTAAATAAATACACAGATTAAATTGTATTTCAAATGGTTTTTTAATTTTCATTTCTGTGAAAGTATACTTCCTAAAATAATGCATCCCAATAGTGTTTTCTATTATATGTTATGAAGCGCAACCCTACATTATGTTAAGTCTCATGTTTGTTAGATAGTACGTAATATTTGGTTACATTTTGATTTCGGTTAGTTATCCGTTAAATGGTTTCTATCAACGTGTCCTTTGGGTCACAGTTTAATATGTGCGTCATAATTGCATGAGATATTACTTTGTTTAAAAGATCCTAACCCAATACGTTATTTTTACTTTCGATTACCTGTAAGGATAGTGACATTTAAAACTCCTTAGACAGTACTGAACTTTAAGATCTTAATTCTAAAGTCACTCCAATATCTTTCAACTGCCCATTATTTACACAGATTTATCGTTTGCAGTTGGTATTAAGTTTTTTTAATGGCTGTGTTGACCGATGGTTGACCGATAACAATGCCAATGAGATAGATATTCTACTTAGCTTCGTATGTATTCTGTCAGCTAGCCGGATTAATACAACGTAGATAGTAAAAGCTGAAAACGAGAAGTGTTTCGGGTAAGTATATTACACACATTTTTATATACAGACAGGATAAAGGGTATCTAATCTACTCGAAATAGCACTCATTTTGGGCGTTAATATATTCAAGATGATGCGAGGAGGGAGACAGGTATTTGATAAGATAATAATTGTGCAGATTCACAAGCATAGATAAGACCTATACTCATAGATTAACGAGGACATGAATAAAATGATGGTTTTACAGAAGGTTACAATCGCCTATGTAAAGAACATTTATTCGGTAGGTAAAAGTGACTTGGTAAAATCATGTTGAGTTATTGATGAATCTTCTGAGTGAATGCCTGGAATGGTTCCCTTAGCTAATTCCCTTAGGCTAAATCTACACGACAACTTGAACACGAGAACAGGCGCGAAATATGGGAAGGACGCCATACTCCGAGGTTAGTTCATGTACAGAAAATTGAGGGTATTTATAATATTTCAGATGACCTTGAGCTTCTAGAACCCTACTGAACATAGTAGCAGGATAGGAGATCATTCAATCAGAAATATGACACGTGACTCTCCACATTCTATATGCTTCTGAGAAACATCTATTCAATATTGATTAAATAAAACAAGCCAGAATGAAATAAGTAGGCTAATGATAATAGAGAAGCTGCTAAAACAAGTTACCTCTATCACCGGTGATACAGAAATCTAATTTTTAATAAATAACTGTATTAGAAAATAAATTATACATGAAAGATATACGAATACTTGACAGGTAGAAAAAGGTACCAACTTAGAGGCTCATTTTCAAGCCTTCACGTGGAGCTGCAACAATATCCTCCCCCACGAAATAATGTTGGATCTTTATATTCCCAAGTTATGCATTATGTGGCTTCATTTATAACGTATTTGTCACATTGACTATCGTATTCATTAGAAGTGACTTCATGATAAGGATAAACAACGGTTGATATGAAATTATCCGAATTATAATTCAAATCGAGTCGATTTAGTACTCGTGCTTCGTATTAAACAAGTTTCCCACAAGAAACAAATACATAAAGAGGATTGATAATATTTGACATAACATCAGGATTTGATTCTTCCGAAGTATTTTCCTCAAATTTATTAAGAATGTCGTTGGAGAGTACGGGATCATTAGAAAAATCGTCATCTATCAAAACTGCACCTGATTTTTGATCATGATTTGATTCATTCAACATATTTCCCTCAGATTTATAAGAAATTTCATCAGAAATATGTCAATCGTTAGAACAAACCGCATCTGGTTCAATAAAATGTGAAGTCCAATAAGAATTTGAGTAACCAGAAGCTTTTATCTCTCAATGATTCTGAGTTTTATTTAACTCTGGACTGCTATGTGACTCTATGCTGTTTTTTGAAGTCGTAGTTAAAGATAAATAATCATTAGAAACACAGCCTTTGTATGTGTGAATAGAATAATTAGTTTCCTAAATGACAACTGCACTGGTGGATGATCTTCATCATTGTACTAAGGTGAGTATAATTAAAAAATGAAAAGTCAGTACGTGTAGCCGTCGATACAGTCAACATCTATCTTGCTAAATGTGTATTAGAAAGATGACTAGAGGAAAAAACGCAACTATTAAGAAAAAATACACAGAGTCGTGTTCTCTTTTGATTGTGAAGTCTAGTGTTATTGGTAACATTTTACAATGACAAGTTATACCTTACGTCTTGCAAAACCACGTTGAAGCATAATGAAATTAAACTCTTACGAACCGTTTTAATATCGATAATGCAGATGTTAGGTGGACAGATGCACTTAGATGTAACGAATATAAGTTTTTTGTTGACAGACTAACTATATGTTCTGACTAATGGCAAAGTAAGGATGGATATAGATTGTACTTATAGAGTAAAGTTTATAAGTAATGAACTGTATATCACATTGTTGCATATGCAAACACAGTGATGAAATGAACGCACCAGTTATCAATGGGATATGATGTTTGATGATTGTAAACTGTTGTCATAACAAAGCTCAAAAGTTACAAAACTAAGTTGCCGACAAGTTATATTTTAGGATGGGAACAGCGATTGCTGGGTATAAATGACATTATTGGACTCCAGATAAATATCAAGATCACAAGTTTTTACTTGATGGAGTATAACTTCTAACTGAAATCTGTTGTATCGACATGACTGGTTGTCAGTGTTGGGGTAATCTCGACAGTGATGCCTCATTTTGTACAGAAGTTCAAATGCTTCAAATGGTTGTGAACTAAATAGAAGAAGCTTTCGCTTAACAGGCTACCGTGTCTAGTAACAGGGGATCACTAAATCCTCCAGGCAGGAACCTAGGAATGTTAACAATAAAAAAGGATAAAGAAATTGGTAAATCATAGTATGATGCTGTCTTTGGTCCCTAAGAATAGGTCAAGTTGCCTATTGAAGGACTCCTGAAAAATCGCTTGGACTAGCTCGGCTGGCAGCGAGTTCCAGCATTTGACAACTCTTAAGTAATGGAAGTTATGTCTACATCCCGTTTTACTACGTTGTATCTCAAGTTTTTTGGTGTTACCCATTAGGTTAGTGTTCGAACTAAGCTTAAGTAGTTGTTTAAGAGGATGTCAAGAAGTGTTGAGAATACTATAAGCTATTAATAGATCACCTCTAAGGCGCCTATACTCTAATGGGTAAAGGTCTAGTGAATAGAGGTGCTCTTCGTAAGGTTCAAATTTGAGTCCTCAAACTGATTTCGTGGTTCTCCGTTAGATACGCTCCAAAGTGTCCTTATCCTTTTGGAGTGAGCGGGGAGTACTGTGTTTCCGTACTCTAAGTGGGGACGGATGAAACTATTGAAGATTATATGTAAAGTTCTTCCGTCAAACTGGCCAAAAATGCGCTTCAATGTTACCAGTGCAAGGGTTGCTCGGAAGACATTGTTGTCACAGTTAGCGTAAGACTTTAACTCATAGGACACCAGGACTCCTAAATCTTTTTTTACTTAAGATAATACTAGAGAGGTGTTTCCCAAGTTATAAATGTAGTCTGCGACATGTTGTAGATGGACTAACTTACACTTTGAAATGTTAAAAGTAAGTCCATTATTATCTGCCCAACTCTGAAGTCGAATCAGATCCTCCTGAAGTGCCTATGTATCGTCTTGGTTGCCTATCTCTCTCCAAAGTTTAACATCATCGGCAACGAGTAACAATTCTGACGTTACCTGTTGAGGAAGATCATTTTTGTAGACCAAGAATAGAAGAGGTTTTAGTGTTGAGCCCTGAAGGACCCCACCAGGACATTCCATAGCCTGAGATAAAGTGAAATTAACCCTAACGTTGAAGTGTCGATTTTTCAGGTATTAAGTGAGCCAATCGATTAGAGGTGGTCTGATACCTAGTCGTTTGAGCTTATTGATAAGACATGTATGGTTAACCCTATCAAAAGCTTTTGAGAAATCTAGGTAGATGATGTCAACCTTTCCCTTTCGATCAAGGATGCTTGTCCATCTGTCCACCGCAGTCAGCAGGTTGGTTATACAAGAGTAACCCTTCCTGAAACCATGCTGTTGGGGTGAGAAGAAATTTAAGGACAGTAGATAGACGTTTAAACCGTCACATATCAGGGACTGCATGAGTTTTGAAGGTAGTGACAGAAGAGCCACCGGCCGATAACTTGAAGGTTCATTGCGTCGACCACCTTTGAAAATTGGTGTGATGTGAGCCAATTTCCAATTTTCCGGTAATTTGCCTCGGCTTAGCGAGTGTGAAAACATCACGCTAAGCGGCGTTGCCAGGATTGAGGCTGCCTCCCTCAGTATGGCAGGATGAACCATATCCGGGCCAGGAGAAGCATCTAATCTTAAGTGCTGCAGTCAGCGCTTAGGTCCACTTCGGAAAGTCCTGTGGAATTGCAGATGAAACTGTCGTCAATAACGTTGATGTCAGCCAGTTGAAATGTTTGAGAGTAATGTGCCACCAGAAGGTTAGCGGCGTCACCATCGTTGTTGGTTGGGCCGTTAAGACCTAGCAGTTGGGAAACTCCTGTTTTGGCTTGACGAAGAGAGGCTGAATAACGGAATAGGCTTCTAGGGTTAGAGACGAATTTGTCCATAAGCTTTGTCTGGTACTGAAGCCTGTCTTTTCTTATAGCCTATGTTCCTGATATGTTTATATTGCCTATACGCTCCGTCGTTATTAGTTCGTTTGTATTCCGCTCAACAGTGCCTTTTGCATCTAAGCAGGCGAAGGGTATGGTTCTTGATTACTGTAAGTGGCTTGCAGCTTTTGGGAACCGTTTGAGGAACTGAATGGTTTGTAGCACATAAGAGCGTGTGCGGTAAGAAATCCCAATGACCGTCCACATTGAGTTGAGGGTGAACATCCTAAACCACCTGTTGTAGATAGTCATGTAGAGCTTGCACATTCGGCCGCTTAAAATTCCAAAGCAAATTATTGTTGGGATACCTTAGCTTAGTTTTGATGAGAAAACTAAAGGCTATGACGGCATGATCGCTCTTTCCCAGGGGAGCCAGGATTGAGAGGTTGTCAACTAGAAATTCTTCGTTTGTGAATACACATTCTAAGCGCGATGGTGTCTGACTGTTCCTCCAACAAGTTGCCGACCTCACATTTTCATATAAGCCCAAGTCATCGATGAGGTTGAAGAACCGAGCTTCGAGTGAGTTGTCGCCTCCAGTGTACGTGTGTTCCGCGAAGTTGACTCTCGAGAGATTAAAGTCCTCTAGAATCAGGATGTGTGTGAAACCGAGACGAGTAGAGCGGGATAGTCCTTCCAGCATACGACTATCGTACTCGATGTCGGCAGTTGGCTTCCTGTAAATGACTCCGAATAGACACATCGAAGTACTAGATAATCTTACAGAGTACCTTGTGGATTCCTCAAGATTGTTAAACTCGAGGTCATGAACTTGATGCACCTCCAAGCAAGAACGTATGTAAACGGCTACTCGCCCCCCCCCAATTCTTGATTTTCTGTCGTTGCGGAACAAAGACATCCCAAGTAGTGCTAACTTTTGGTCCGAGAACTGAGAAGATATCCAGGTTTCAGTTATTCCTATCAGGGCCTTATTAGCATCGCTAAGTTCACATAATTCATTCAATGTATTTGGTAGACTCACGGCGTTTATATATAAGCTGTTTATGTTTTCAATTCGGAACGTGTGAGCTTCGTCCTGTTTGTCTGAATGAGCCACACGTGTATGGACAGGTAGCCGACCTATATGGGGTTCTCCGAGGTGATAGGCCCTGTCCTCTACACGTTTTTTTATTATCAAGACAGTCCACAAGTGGAATGGTCAGCTCCATCTTGCCTTTGTGTTTAGTCCTAGCTTTGTATGGCCTATCCGGGTGCATGTGGATTCCAGGTGGCAATCGGCGTCTGTTTGCACGAAATGCTTCCAGAGTTGCAGCCGCCATGTGGGAGGATGGGGAGGTTATTTTCATTAGACGAGGTCTAGGATCATCACCCTTCTTGGCTAGTCTCGTCACATGCTCAGTCAGTATGTGTTTGAGCCTCAAGGACTGTTTAATGAATTTCCATTCCGCGATGTCAGAGTTTGATTGAGTAGGATCCGTATTTTCCGGTATACCTTGAACGATTATATTCCTCCCGCAGAAAAACTTATCGCGAGATTCTTTAGGTGTGTTTGGTATGATATTGCTCTCAGAGTACGGTATGTCGGGCAGTGTTTTTACGTTACCATCGTATTTCAGGAAGTGACTGGCTAGCAAGACGTCCCGTACGCCGGTAGCATTCTTAAGTGTTACTCGAAGAAGCCTCGGGTGATTTAGATGCTTAGAATCCTTTCCTCCAGTGAGCTGGGTGACCGTCAAAGGCTCTATTCTAGGAAGTTTGAGGTTCTTGTTCAGTTCACCTCAGAGCATCCTATCAATTTTGTCCTGCAGACTGGGAGGAAGGTCAGGATTGTCAATGAGATTCATGATTATGATAGAATCGTCACGAACTGTTGTTGATTTACTAGGTTTCCCGATGGGTTCAGTTTTAATACCTTGTTGTTTGGAGATCAAGTAATGTTTTTGAATCTTGGGCTCTTTGATGACAGGATGAACAATCTTAGGGGTAGACTGTGCGGCCAAATCACCAGTTGTTTTCCGTACAACAACACTTGGGATGCTCAACTTACAAGGTGACACCTGGTTCTTTTGGAGTCTGCTAACGCGAGTCGAATCACCTACAGGGATTTCGGGAACCACTGTTGTGTTCAGGGACCCTGATCTGGGAGACTTAAGTTTACTTAGGGAGTCTAATACCGTCGACGTAATGATGGTGCTGAGCTTCAACACGTCATCATTAGTGGTAATGGATGATCCATCGATGGTATACTTGCCGACATCTCTAATCTTGTGTTCGTTGCGGACTCTTGTTTGTTTACTCGTTTTTTTACTGCCGTTATCCAAGTTTGCTGGCAATTTGTTACGCAGATCTGTCACTGCAGCATCCGTGCTGCACGTGATACATACCCACCTTTGGTCCGACTTGCCAAGTCTATTGTAAGCAGTTGCCGTCACATCTGTGCACGCTTCGTAGAACCAATCTTTGCAATCATCGCACTGCATGCCAGTTGTAACAGCAAAACGGCATCCCGGACGTTTGTATGAGTTTTTCATGACTTTGTTGAAGCAAAAAATGTTACAGATGCCTGAAAAACCCTAAAACCTTAAAATACGCTAAAAGACACACTGAAAACGGACAAAAGTGGATAAAAACGAGTGAGACAAACTGAATTAGTATTTACGTGAAAAACAAAAGAAACCCGAATTGTAAGCTGAGGCAAAACCACAGTTAACCATTAAGTTGGGTAAAATCTAAATTGATCTATTGAACGTATAGCTCAGGATGGATTCTTAAGATCAGAAATGATAATTTTGTTGCGTAAGAACACTTCAAATGTTTAAGAAATGTAAATCAAGTTGTGTCTAAATTTGACGTTCGCAAAGCGGGCAATCAATGCAATCACCTGATAAAAAGATGTTTGTTCTTTAAAAATTTAGAGAACCTCTTTAGTATCAAGGTAAGGATCTTAAATTATTGAAAACTATGTTTTGGTGGCTACAAAAATATCTCGTATGAATGATGCTGTTCAAGATAGAATTCCTCGTCGCTTGTTGAGAAGACCGATAACATGTTTTTTTGCGTCATGTACATAGCTTTCAAAAGTATGCAATCAGCCGATATTTCATGTTAAATTTTGTTTCAGTTGTTTCACAACCTCTGCCGCAATTCAAAACTGTCAAATGACCTTTAGGGCATATCTTTGACATTTGTGGGTGAATTGGACATTAGCAAAATTTGAATGCCTGCAAGATGGTGTTATAAGTCATTAATATGAAAATCATAAACTGATGTATGGATCAAACTTTTTTATCAGTAAGTCCATGGTTTATCAGAAGTATCTTCTATTTCAAAAGAATTCTCATTTTTGAAATAATGTCATGCAAAAAATTTTCATTTAGTTCTAATGTGTCACATCCCAACACATTCAAGTAAAAATTTGATGTGTGTATGATAAAATGATCTTTGAAATTATCAACACTATAGAGAATTAGTGAAAGTTCAGAGCGTATATTTCTCTGTCACAAGTAACTATAAGTATCAGCCAGTAAATTCTGGAATTCAATTACAGTCAAGCTTTTTAGTGTCTATGTAGTGAACGAAAACTCAGGGTGGACAACCAGTTAATTGCTTTACGCGAAATAACACTGTGCCTTCGTAAAATATTAAATTCATCACTTGTATATCTCTCTTGGCTTGTCCTTTACGCACTTCACAATTTTTCCAATACCGTTGTCATTCGAATCACTCTGTCTTCTCTTTATTTTGATCTGCTGGTAATCATTTCACTTCCAATATCTGCCACAAACTTTTTATTTCTGTCCGCATAAGTAGCACACACCACACTTGTACTTAAATATGTATTATTAATATTACTCAATTTGTTTAATGTGGTTGGTGTTTTATAGCAAAGCTTCTACGGGCTAAGGTTTTTCGAACCCATTGCTCAACCTTCCTCCTTTACTCGGGCTTTCGACCAACAGTAACTTTAAAAGAGCTACAGGCGGAGTTTATTACTAATATGTGACAACATAAATTGGGACTTACAATGATATTTTCTAGAATTGTGCCCTGATTTTACGGAACAGAGGAAAAAGCCACCACAATGTAATACTTGCACCATCTCTCCTTCCATGATGATGTTCATTTTATTTATTTATTTTAACACGTAGGTATTGGTACAAGGAGGCACTAAATACATATGCGCCACACAAGTCACATTCGATGTGTGAGGGCTGTGATACTGTCCGGGTGCCCAGACCGAAACAGGTGGTTTTCTTAGAGGGCTACACCCCGAGCCTTCGACCTGAAGGTCTGATCCACAAGGCAGTGGAGCATCGTAAGGAGATGCAGTCCCATGGAAGCCGGTGACCAACAATTGGTTCATACGCCATTTATTCCCGCAGGATACTGGAGCCCATGTGCACCATCGGTTTGGAATCCGGTCAAAGCGCCAGACATTCGCTTTTCGTCCTCTCATTTTCGTAAACAACACCCCTGCCATGAGGAGGCAGTGAGTAGGACATCCAAGGCAGAGGCTATATACGCGTGGCCATGTGAGAGCATTTTGAGAGCGAGAGCGGACTCTCCCCACTCTCAGCCATACCAGGGCATTTGACTTATGCTCAATGTCATAGAGACAACACTGTGTTGTGATTTCGTACACTTTTACGATATAGTTTACAGCGAAATCAGGAGGTAATTATCGTATTTAAGTGTATTGCCTTCTTTCTATCTTGGTGCATGAGCGTTTATTGATTTCTTTAGAAATATGCTAATTATTATTTTTCTTTTTTTAATCGATGAAACTATCTTTTCCGTTACAGATTCCTCACCTTAAGCAACTGGCTTTGTTGACCTAAGAGTTTCGTCATTCATAGGGGTTCCTCATGAAAAGAGGTGGTGGACCGAATGAGTTAGACCCCCCACCAAAAGTCTCTAAAACTAGGGAGTCTGTGGATGGAGATGAATGTGTTGGCGATTGGCAAGTATGTTACACAATCCAATACTGATTGGCTATTGTGTAACTCATGTTTTTACGAGTAATCATTATTTTGCAGATAAATATTAAGTAATGGGGTTAATAGTTGTACATTTCGTTCGCCCTCATTCTTACCAATGAATTGTTGGGAATATTTGTGGATTTCATATATCAGAGTTGTTGTCAGAGTATTAATGGTTGTTTTGAAAAATGAGTCTTCGTATAGCTCAATGGCAGTGCTGAATGAATGATACTTCGGTGCGAGTATTTGTTCATCTTGATACTTAGTCTATCCGTGTGTGATCTTTGACTGTTTAGCAGCTTTTGTCTACTAAAGATTGTTGACACTCGATGAAAGCACCGCTGAATTAGTGACGAAATCTTTTGATATGTGTTTGGTCATTGTGAAGGCCATCACTTAAATGATTTTAACCTAAGACACTGACTTCGGTGGTTTGAACTGGTTTTGGATGTCATGTTAACTGAACCTAGTGGGATTAGAGGAAAAGTAGTTGGTTTATGACAGTATTATTGAGTGGAGAATAGCAGTATTGAGTTGTTTTAAAGGCTATTCATGATTGTCTGGATCTAGTAAAAGATCCCTTGCAATGTAGGGCAAAGTAGCAAAGCTGATATGATTTTCGCTGCCTGTTACTTTTCACTTTGATTATGGAGTGACTTAAAGACCCAGTCAATTAGTATTGTCTCAACTCTACTGTCTTAAGAAGTAATGGAATTAACGAAGCTGGATAGCAGTTCCATAATATCCCTCGACAAGTACTCATGAAACGCTCTCAGAACTAACTGATGAGCACATTCGTGCTTTCTCGATCCCAAAGCTCATATTTACTGTTGATGTAAAATCAAGATTTACTCATAAGTGATCTGTTTCCATCATCCTCATTTGAATACTAGGCATCTATTTTACTCTTTAGTTTTTGTCGAAATATCTTGTCGAATCAGCTAATGAAGTTTCTGTGATGGAAGTATTAAATACATTAAATATGAATCTGTACCATAATGTATTGTTTAATTATCCCGTAACGTGCTTATAAATTAAGTATCTCATTTCTTTTAACCGTCTTTCAGTAATTTTTTCTGTACACAGATGGTTTGGAATTGATATCCTTTTACTACTTTTCATTTCTATACACTATTTTTGTGTAACATAGGCATCACTTGGATGTTCATTAGCGGAAAGACTGGAAAAAATCACTACTGTCCAGCATTTGACAACACGCCAAGTTAAAAGGTTGTTGAAGGATGTCCTGACTAATGAGGATGTTGTGAGTGCTCTACGTCGGTATATTGATGGTGAATTCAGAGAGCCTGAAACCGGTGAGGTTTCAGCAGCTACTCGAAGGCGTGCTAAATCTTTGGGGTTATTTTCTATCCTCAGTGATCTTGGAGAAAATTCTGATTACCACCTAGAATCTAGAGCTATCACTCGGTAAGTCATATTGTTTTTCACTTTTCTGATACTTATGTTAAATCGTTCGTATGGTGCTATCAGATCTAATATAGAAGACTTAAACTATACTCTTTGTATTGGAATACAAAAAACGATTGTTGTATTGGTTGAGCGAGGCTGTACTTTGATGTTATCTGTTTAAAATATTTATAGCGGTTACGTTTGTTATCATTTGAAGGTCTTTAAAGAACAGTAATGATAATGAGAGCACAAATCCACCTAACGTAGTTGCTCCACAACAATAATGAGGTTACACAGTAGCCTAATCTTACCATCACAAGCGTCTCGAAAGCATTTGTGAAAGATGTGTGGTGCATATATATTTGGTGCCCTCTCGCACCAATATTTATGTGTTCAAATAAATAAATAAATACGTACCTAAGCACTTAGATGTCGAGTGGGTGGGTGCTGTCAGCATCGTATTGTTACTCAAATTTCTTTCTCACTTCCGACGTTTTTACCTTGGCGATGGAGATGATATCGTCTTCCTATGAAATGACATATGCATGTAACCAGTTGTCTGTGAAAGGTATTTTTTAAAATCTTAAAACGTTCTACGGCTTTGCGTTTCATGGTAATTGTCCTGTAAGGAATCCTTGCTTGCAGTGGTAGCACCGGGTGTTGTTGAGATACCTCAATGTCTATTTGAGTATAAGGTAAATGCTGATGATTTATTAAGTTTTGTTACTTTGAGACACCGGCTTTCTTACGGTATATATATATATATATATAACGGGTTTCATACCAACTACTACTTGTCGTTGCTTGCAACTAGTTGAAACAGTAGACGGATATTCTGCTATTTATATACCTGGCAATGGATTACTGCAGGGTATTCATTATTAAGTGAGTCGATTTCAAAGCACTTTATTTAATTTTCAAACTAGTACGACTTCTCAAGTTATATAATATTATCACGAAACCAGTAGATCATCATTCTCTGTCACTCACGAACTTTAAGAAGAACATTGATCAAATATAATTTGCGTACTGAATTCCTTTACCCGGAGAATAAATTTAGTTCCTAGGTCGTAACGGATTTTATTACTGACAATTTTTGCATTACGCCTTATTCCTTTTAAATTTTCTTCTCATTAATTTTACCTTATTTTTCTCCTTTCCATATTCGTCAAGATTCTCGGAAACCAGCTAAATCTCAATTTAATGACTTGTTGGTCTTCCCATCTTGAGCTGAGGTGGATAAGTATTTCCTCTAAAAACTTTATTTTGTGTCTGTACTCCCTGTGGGACTCCGTATCACATCATGTTATTATCTAGTTTTGATTAACTGTATTAATCATTTCTATACAAACACGTTTAAATCAGTTATTTAGGTCCGTAATTGTCATCACAACTTCCTTTCACTATATTTGGTTGATATTACCTAGATTCTAGTTAACCAAATCACTTTTTGGATCTAGTTTACTATTCACTTACGTACAGCTAGAAGTCAAAAAGAAATAATTTTAACATTTAAGAACAAAGTATCTTTAGTGCTATCATGCTCTTGTAAATAGATGTGGTATCAATTTTCCAATTTTTTGCTAATGCTTACATGGAGATAAACTTTGTAATAACTGTGGTACCACTTATTAACTTTCGATAATCTATTCATACGATTATTAACTTGGTATGTGCGTTTATAAAATGGACGCTTCAGTATGTTAATTTCTCAAACCTCCTGTTTTAAGGCAATCAATATTCGGTTTGATGGATATCTTTTTGCCTCTTTTCGTTTGTTTCAATTATCTTTAATGTTTGGCATAGATCACACGGCTTAGTTTTCAGTAATTATCTATCTACGTTTTCACTAAATATTGAATGCTTCAAAATAGCGGATACGTTGAGGGGAATGACTTATGTATGAGTGTTATGAATTTCACTTATTGCGCACATATATTTGGCGCACTCCTGTACCAATATATATGTGTTCAAATAAAATAATAAAATAAATTAAGCTTCATATAGTTTATGAATTGCATATCAGTGTTAAAATGTATAATCTAATTTATGCCTCACTTTGGTTTCTATTTTCTTACAAAATCAACACAAATAAATGCAGTACTGTTTGCTTTGTTAAGTATCTAATGTGGTTTTTATCATGCTACTTTAATTTCTTTACTGTCCAACTAACTGAATTCATATCTTAGTAAATACCAATGTTTCCACCTGTAGCTGTAAATAAAAAGTTTGCAGGGGTTGGGATTCCCAGTTTAGTGAGTGTTAGCACTATAGTTTGTTGTTTTTCTTTGTTAGTTTCCATTAAAATATTCCTATACTAACAAAGTCGGTGTATTTGACTCAGTGAATTAAACATGTAATAACAAACTTTATTGATGGCCGATTAATTTCTTGTGTAATGGTTTTATTTATCTGTTTATTTTGAATAAATTCTTCAGATCACTTACTCGTCGTATTGAAGAGTCATTGCAAAATCAGTTTCCACATTCTATCACACCCGAAAAAAAAGCACCATGCACCATTCTTGATATGGAATTCCCTGATGAAGATGATAGCAATGGAAAAAATATAGGGAACGATTTAGATATTTCATTGGCCGATAGTGATTACCAACCGAACGATGGAGATTACAAAATTTTAAGACGTGATCAAGTGCTAGATTTTACCGAAGCCTCCAAACATAATTCCTGTGTTACAGATGTAGAAAATGAAAGTTGTCTTAATGGTAGTAGAAGTAGCACTGAAAGTGATTCACAAATAGATCTTGACTCTTGTGATGACTGCATTCAACCTAACAATGTCGATAATTTTGTTTTCTGTGGAAACGATAATAATTTAGATATACGAACTTCCCATCTCACTCGTTCAAAAGCTAAATCACTCAAGAGTTTATCTGAATTAAGAAACGGTGTTCCTTTTGAAAAGCATGAAAATTCTAACTCCAGCGTATCATTTCGATCGGACGATACTGTTCAATTTCCGCCTCCTGGTAGTTTTCATTGTTATCCGGATGCAGAAGAGGGTGAAGAAGACGGAGAGTTCAATGCAACAGAGGACATAACAAATAAAAATTACAGTACAACAACAAATAAAGATGTAGATATTGAAGATTCAGATAACGATGTTTATACTCAATTTCTTCGTTCGCTGTTCACTTCCGCTTCCAATTCAGCAAACTGTACGCCTAACAAAGTGTGTTAAAAGTTTTAATATTGGTATAAAGTTCCTTGTGCAATTGTTTTTGAATCTTTGTATTTTTTCTAAATATTTTATCTGTTCTGTATGGTTGTGATAACCTATGTTATGGAGATTCAATGTAGTATTATAAAGTGATTAATGTCAAGTCATAGCTGTTTACTTAACTCTTTGGATCCTCAAACAGCTTCATGAGTTATAACGCTTATGTATGCAACCTTGGTCAATAGCTTTCTGTATTTCAACTCAACCGTGGCTACTACCGCTATTTGTCGTGTTCGAAAGTTTTCAATCAGTTGACCTTATGTATAGACTCTCTTTCAACTTTCTATTTCTTAATCACAAACAATAGCTTGCTTTTTAATAAGATAGCTTCTTGTAATCTAACAACATGCGAATGTCACTTAGAGATAGATTTTTTCACAGTACGTAAAAAACAAGTGAATGGTAAAATGTTTAACTGACACGTTGATAGCATTTTGACCTAGTGAGGATGAAACTAATGACTTAGTTGTTTATTTTAGTACTATCTATGACTACAGGATATCCGAAATTTCAACGAAGCTTAGACATTCTTTTGACTGTCTGCAATCCAAAATTAAGTCGAGTACACAACAGTATTCGATTACGTAGCAATATCACCTCTATCGATATAACTATTGATCTTGTGAATAGTTAATATGGTCATAAAATATTACGAATCGATCGGTTATGTTGTGTTTAGTCCAATCCTCTTACAAGTGCTCATACCAGGACTCGAATAACTTAGCAGTGGTGACTATTATAATGTTCGTTGTGAGTTAGAAAATCCAGGGTATTAATTTGATGAAGTTTGTAGATATACTTTGGTCAGTAACAATAAAAAAAATGATTCTGAGCTTATTGACGGTTTCACTGAATCATATGTAATTATTATTTTCAGAATAATCCGTTGTACTCAATATTTGTAAACGATCAAATCCAACCTAGGCTGAGAAACCTATAATAGTAATAATAAGCTATCAGCTGTAAGTGACTGGTTATATGTAGAAAATAGTTTGTGAAAAATAACACTGCAAATTCTTTTGTATTTTTAATCTCGTGTGAGTTTAACTGTAGTTTTTAGTGGTATATAGTTTAATCATTCTCAAAAGTCACAGAATGACGTTTTCTGCGTAAAGCATACTGTTAATGAAATTTAAGTTGAGTATCTTCGAATCAGTTATAGATTATCACCACCTCAATGAATTTTCAAAGCTTTTAAATCACTAACTGATCTTAGTTAAACTACCACTGAAAAGCTGGAAATATTTGAAGCATCCATATGTACTACTAAAAATTGCTAGTCAATGTAAAACTGTCAAGTTAGATATAATTATGCGCTTAAGATAAACGTTGAAATCCACCATTTCATTTTAGATTCAACTGTAACTTGCTTTTGCACTTTCTTGATGAATGCATTACTAAAATAATCATGATTTAAAGTTGGTTAGCAAACAGTGTTCCAATGTTGAATACTAAAGTTTTATTCTTGTAATGATCTGCTGCATAACTGCTCAATTTTACCTTACTTTTCAGCTAAATCCACGAATAAATGCTCCAGTTAAAGAGTCTACAATCTGTGAAAAACTCTTAGGCGATGAAACAAACAAAAACAACAGATCCCCACCATCAAGTGGACATCATTCTAAAATGACATCACGGCCAATATCAAGGCTTATGGCTGATATCAATGAAGATGAAGACGATGACGATCCAGAATTTGACGTTATGGCAGAGTTAGACGATGTTGATAGGGAGGATTTTTTCTATGAATTACGAGACGATCGCGCTGTTCGAGTATCTAAAATGGAAGCCAAGGTTCGGTGTTTTTTAAGTATACCTTCTCTATATTATAATTGAATCTTCAGCTGTATTAGTATGAAAATGTTATTAAATAATAGTTTGATTGATGAAGTAGTCTTCAATGTTATCGTAAATTGCTCTATGTGAATGCTTTGCACTGTTAAATAATTTCATACTGAAATATGATCGAAATTTATGTTAAAATGTATTTGATGTACAGATCACAAATTATATGATCTATCCAATTTACATTATACGGCATATTAATGTTTTTGTTTAGCAAGTGGAGTGAAAAACTCATCTTAAAAGTTAACTTCTTACTTCCAGGTTTAATTGAATTGTCGTTTAAGAATGATATTACTATTTAAACAGACTCACTAAAATGTTTTGTTGGATGGATTCTATTATGCATTGAAACGGGTATGTTTGGGATGTCAGATACGTTTCTAGGGTCGCTTATTTTGACTGTGAATATGTGTATTAACAAAAGCAATTATACTGTGTTGAATCGTTCACACCAGCGATCGATATTCAGACTCTTATAAATAAACATTAAGAACCTTAACCATTAAGCAATAGTTCATGTATTGATTAATTCACTTCACAATTCGATTCAGTACCTCAATGATAGGCATCCATATTGATCAGCACTACATAGTCGTTCTTCGTTTTAAACGCTTACGACATCAAAACTATTAGATTCTCATGCAGAATACTACATTCTCTATATTGAAGTTCAGAAGGTGATTTAATCAATCCACTTTAATCCAACTAATCGCATTGTAAAAAGTCACTAGTCTTAAAAATTATTTCTGCAGATAGGTTTAAAGCTATATGAATTGTAATTAATCGTCTTACTGTTGAAAGAAAACTTATCAACATCCAAAATATAAAGCCTGTCATAATCAAATTCACTTACTTGACGTACAAAAATATTTTGGACACACTTTTAATTAATGAAATCTTATATCTATTTCAAATTGAAAAGCGGTGTCGTTTATTGTAAATGTTGCCAATACTAACAGCATAGTCAAGATGTTCACCCGTTTGTTATTGTTATTAAAACAGAACAAGTTTTGTAAACACTCCTTAATTTGTGAGTTGTTTCATTCTCATAGGAATTTTCTTTACAATCTTCTTAAAACACTGGGATGATAAGTTTTCAGCTGCTAGTTTTTAACGTTTCAAATATCCAGTCAGTCAATTAACTTTTTTTGTACATCTTTCCGTGCACAACAGTTAGTGACCTCATTGATCCATGTTGTTTTAATTTTGAAACGTCATAATAATTAGTATAGTATAGATATGTGGCGTCATAGTCTGATATCCATTATTGGGAAGTTTTATGGATGGTTCACGCTGTCGCTTTCTTGTGTTAATTCTTCCTACTTTATATGTGTAACAGTAATCTATGGTTAATAAAACGTAAAATATTTGGGAATTCGTCAGCATATTTTATTTTGCACTATAATCATGACAGTAACAATTAAAGTTGATACCCTAATAAATCCCGACATCTTCAATGGCTTACACCTGTCAATGATCATTTAGCAGAATATATTGTGTGAAACAATAACTTATTGAGTTCTGTGACTGACAACAACTGGAACAAAAGCGCTAATTACCACGCATATTGACACTGATATAAATTGAAGTTACAACGATCTATTTATTCATTCATCCGTTTAGACACATAAACATTGGTCCAAGGAGGCACCAAATATATACACGTCGTCATTCGATTTGTGTAAGGGCTGGAGTACTGCCAGGGCGCACAAACCGAGGCGGGTAGTTTTCTTAGGAGGCCACTCCCCGAGCCTTTGACCTAGAGATCTAGTCCACAAGATAGTGGAGCAACTTTAGGAAATGCAGTCCTATGGTAGCCGGTAAGCGACGGTAGGTCCATACGCCATTTGTTGTCTCAGGATTCTGGAGCCCATGTGCACCATTGGTTTGGAATTAGTCCTTTCCAACTTCCCTAGTTGGATGTTCCATATCCACCAATCCGGTTAAAGTGCCGGAGATTCGCTTTTCGTCCTTTAAATTTCATAAACAACACCCCCCTCTGTGAGAATGCGGTGGGTAGGACTTCTCTAGCATTGGCTGCATACGTGTGGTCATGTGAGATCATTTCAAGAGGGAGAGTGGAGTCTCCCCACCATCGGCCGTACCAGGGCATTTGGGACCTATAGCATTCGAACTGAACGATATCATGTAACAGCTCTTCCTAATTACTACTGCTAACTATACGACAAAATTCACTTGGTATTGTTTAATTGAATCTTCCCATTGATGTTTAGGACTGCAATTGATCAGTCTCTTATTGGCATATGTGCATACTGTGCGTATTGCTTTAATTCACAATATTTTTAAGCAAAAATGGGTGGTGGCTAGCAGTGGAATCCAGGACGCGCGTCTCGTTCTATTTGGGACTCGTCAGCTGGATGTACTTGCATCTCAGAGTTGATGTTCACTCTGGGACTCGAACCCAGTATCAGTAGCTAAGTGGATAAGGCGATGGCGTTCGAAGTGAACGGTACTGGGTTTGGGTCCCAGAGTGAACATCAACTCTGAGATGCAGGTACATCCAGCTGACGAGTCCCAAACAAGACGAAACGCGCCTCCTGGATTCCACTGCTAGCCGCCATCTATCTTTGCTTAATATACGAAAAAATATCTAGCTATCACAAAACTTACTGAATGGTTTTACAGTGTATTTTTCAAGCTAGTTAGAATTTTAATCGAGAGTTTAAATTATTATTTGTATCTGTTCAGAATTTACATGAAGATTTACGTGAACTGTTTAGTTCAGAAGAAGGACATGAAAACCGTGCACATCAATCCAAAACACCTTCATTCCTGGCAATGAAAGCTTATGGCCAACGCTTATTTCATATGGATCGCAATACATTTCGAAATAGTAGTCAGATAGATGAGTTTAATCATCCGCAACATATTCAACCTCCTGCACTCAATGAGATTTTTCATAAGACTACAGATACTCCGGTTAATCCAACTGTAACACGGTGTCGTATCACGTTAGTCATAGCATTTTCATTTCGTCTATTTCCTCTCATACTGAACTGAATTTTGAGACTGTATTTTAGCATTCTCTGCAAATTGTGTGTATTTTGTGCTTCATTATTTCTGATACTTATTACCATTCGAGTAAAATTTGACTGTATCTTAGGTGGTTACACAACAAACCCTATGTGGGATTATCTTTAGAGCTTGATCTATAAAAGTCAAATGTGGTCTCTTCATCATAGTTTACCTTTTCTAAAAAATGAAGAGCATATAAGTCAGTCTGGTGATCCTAGTGAGATTTGTCTAACATGTTTTAAGGTTTCAAAACAAGAAAATTTCTGTATGACAGGTGGATTTCAGTCGTGGTGTAGTTATCTGAATTCAGGACATTCTACATAGTTTGTTAGCCTTCAGCCCGTAGTTCATCGGTTGTGAGGTCTTGTGTAAAGTTTGTGGCAAATATACTATTACACAAAGAGCTATTTACGTTTAGCTTAAAAATAAGTGAAATAGTTGCTAAATACGTCAAGGTCTTATAATATCATCCCAAATATCTCGATGGTAACGTTTCAGACTATGAAATTGAGTGGTATACGCTTGAATCTACCAGGGAACATCAGTCACCTCAAGGTTGCAGATGCATACCTTGTTGATGCGTCCTAACTATCATGTAAACCAGGTCCAGCTTTTCTTTGTCGGCTACCTTCAGTTGTCGGTCATATCAAAAAAAAAAGATGTTATGCAGTAATGCCCGAGCAAAATGATCATTTTCTCAACTGTACTATACATTTTCGTTTAGAGTATTTGTAATCGCTTCAATGTTATATAAGACTTAATAACCTGAACTAAAAAATGGTTATCATAAATCTCTGTTCGCACTATATATAAACGATTAAATGATGTCATGTGTGGTGGAAAGTAGTCATAACTATAATTGTGGTCTCATGAGTGGTATATAAACATTAATATCGACAAAGGAATGAAAGCAAAGAATTTTAAAAACTTCTGTAAGAAATTGAGGTGAGCAGTTGTCGTTTCATCTACATGGTTTGATGATTTTTTTTGTCTATCATAAGAGTTGCATTGGCACACAATACAAAAGAGTATAAGATTTTATAAAATTTTCATATCAAATTATGAATATAGCGTTATTTAGTAAGTAATTACAGGTTTTCATATTCGGCTTTAAACTTCTTGTCCAAGAGGCGATCAAGTGAGTTGCCAACACCAAAGTAGGTGGCAGGGTAATATCAGAACCTACGGTGCACCAGTTGAAAACTGAGTGGTATTAGAAGTATTAATTTATTTTTTATTTTATGAAACAACAGATACTTTTGACTTAATTTTCCATTTTTATAAGAAATAAGTCATTATGATATCGTCTTGTTTGTAATTCGTATTTCTTTTTTGTAGCCTTACTGAGACAGAACTGGTCCGATTGGAACGTCAATTAGTGATGCATATTCAATTGTTAACTACGAATTTCTTATTAACTTATGATTTTCCTGATATGCATGAATATGTTACCCGACCATGTGCTACTCTTCTCAAAACTTTAATTGCTAAACGTCAAGCTTTTGATTTAGTTGCACTTCAACAAAATATCCCCGACAAATATCATCCTGTTACAAGCTTCTATTGGTGTTGTCCTACTTTGGAAATGGCTGTTGATTTGATTTCCGATTATGCTGGATTATCTATGCTTCCACGTTTACCATGGAATCCATATAAACGAGGAGTAGGAAATAGTCTTACTAAGTCACAATCATTCGCCTTGCCTATCCCATATTGTTTACTACGTATAATGACTAACAGTCCTATTTGGTCTTATGCGTGTTTAATGCCTACTGTCTTGGGACCACATCCGAAAAGTCATGTTCGATTAATTTTTCATCCATCTGAAGATGCTTTAATGGTGATGGGGTTGGCAGACTTTTCCGGTGCATTAAGTCGAACTCGTAAATCTCTCGAACCTAAAACTCTTAATTATCACCACCAACCTAGAAGTCGTGAATCTAAGTGTAAACAACCTTGTCGTTACATTGCATATCGTTTAATTGGTAGGCATATACTTCCGTATCGTACACTATTGCAGTTACGCTCTCGTCGTTGGAATCTGTTGGCTAATCGGGACAGCATAGATAATGCTGGGGACTCCAAACATGTACCAGTTGCTACTCGTCGTCTACTCCAACTCTACACTGAGTTAAGTCAACCAGGGGAAGTGGACCTAAAGAGAATTCAACAGTATGCTAATGAAATGTCTACACTTGCTACTCCTTATGGTCTTCCACTAATTGTTGAATGTTTAACTGATAAAAATTCTAAAGAATTATTTACTTTTGAAGGGCTTCCCACCGATGTAGGTTATGAACATGTTTTAAATTCTAACTATCGTAGTGAAAATGCAAAACGTAGATTGGATGTATTAACTGAGTTCATAGAAAACGCCGAGTGTTTTTGGAGGTCACAGATTGAGAAAACACACTCTATAGAAATAAAAACAAATTCAACAGATGTAGAAAGTAAATCCATAGTCAAACTAGAACCACCAGTTGAATGTGATGTTCTTGGTCCGAATTATTTACCTGCTATCCCAGTGGATCTCAATCCTGACGGGTAGGTTCACTCTTCAACATAATATTTTTAAAGTTTCGTAGTTACCTTAAGAATTGATAGTATATAATATTGTGGTGGGTTCCCCTCCCAATTTATTCCAACTAGGTATCGATAGAACAGACATTATTATGTTGATATGATTGAGAAAATATGTAGCTCAGGATATGGATTTCTGAAATCTTATGTTCTCTCAGGTGTATTATTTAATCTTGAAGCTTTTATTATCTTTTTTGAACAATATCGTCAATATATGCTACAAAAAAGTATCGCGACTAAACTGTCCGACTGAAAAAATGCAACATCCTCTTCCACGGGTGGTAGTAAACTGATATATCTTCACAAGTTTCTAAAATCGTCATTTTATTGATTAATTATTTCAACCTATTAATAGTTGACTGTAGTTAAAATTTACACGATACCTCTCCGAGTCCACTTAAATATGATATGGTGTAAGAACTCGTTAATTACTGGATTGAAAAAAACGCGTCCCATTGACCTAGTTGGTTGTGAGATATTCAATTGGGGATGTTTTTTTAGTTAACTATAAAAGCTTCGAGTTGATTTACTGTAAAGGAGAACAAAACGATTAACAAAGTAACGTGAAACTCTGTTCAACTAAATAAAACATATTCTGAAGGTTGGCGAATATCTAATGAGTTCAATTCTTGAAATGTGCAATAGGTTTGACCTCCCTTTGAAAACACTCCCATTCCACTTTAGATTTAAAGTGTTTTGAGATGGTGGAGAAGATTTTTAGCTCAGGTGGATGATTTTGGTGGAGTTTTGTTCTCTGAGCTGGATGGTTTGGTCGTGGAGCTTTCATCGTTCCTCTGAACGACATCATCAGCACAAACTTCAGATAGAAGTGTTAGAATTTCTTCATATGTGTTTCACAGCTTGTTCTGTGCACTTCGATGTTGATTGGTTCTTATTGACCTTAAATTCATCATTGTTTAATTCTTTGTTTTGATTGTGTCTCCCATTGGTTTGATTTTTGTTCCTATATTTATGCATGATTTTCCTGATTGGTTGATAAATTGGATTGATTTTAATATGTTTGTTGATTGCTGATTGACCTGAGTGCCAGGCTTCTAAAAATTCTCTGGTGTTTTTGGAGTTTCCTCTGTCTAAGATTTCTACATTTTTTCCAATCGAATGAGTGTCCGTAGTTATCCACGTGTATTGATATAAGTGAAGAGATATCATGGCGTTTGACTGCTAATTGACGTTCATGTAGGTGAAGGTGGAGGGGGCGTCCGCTTTGTCCGATGTAGTGTTTGTCGCAGTTGGTACAATTTATTTTGTAGATGATGTCTGATTTGTTTTCCTTTGTTATTTCATCCTATGCGAACCAAGCTCCACGACCAAACCATCCAGCTCAGAGAACAAAACTCCACCAAAAATTTCAAGTGTTTGAAACAAACAGTTCGTTGGATACTCATAGCACACATTTACTAGTAGAAGATACATAATACAAGATCGATTATGTATATGGTATCCAGGTTCTTGTTGGAAGAAATGGCGTATGAACTCATTCTCATGACCAGCGATGTTTTGAGAATTCATATTCTGATGCAGCTCAACTACTTTACGGATTAGACCTCTTAGTTAGAGTTAGTCATCTGAGAAACCAACGTGCTCCAATTTGACTGGCTGTCTGATATCGCGTTACAGAAACACCAATCAGATTCCTCGAGTCGAGGCTAAGCTCTTGCTGGTTCACAGTCCCCTACCTCCTCTTTGTCCTTCCCTTGAGTCCAGAAATCAATAATCAGCCCCCACTGTATTTGTATTTCAAGCAGACATAGTGTATACACAAATAAACCACATCACATCACACCATAAAATAGAAAACAACTACACAGAATCAAACCAAAAAGGGGCTGCCAACAGATTAAGAATATTAAATCATACTACAATAGTTAATAGGTTAATCGAAAGCTTGTGATGGAAAATATATATAATACAAATGAGTTTCTTTATCTATCCAAGTTAACGAAATCTGATCATATCACAATTTCAGATATCTATCTAGCTTTTTTCCACCTAACAAGTTGGTAATTTCTGGTGCTATACCTTTTTGAACTGTCATGAGTTGTCGAATGGTTGTTAACATTAATATCAAAGTTTGACTGAATATTTATATGCCGAAAAGAAAACATTCTAATTGGAGATATTATGCATGGTGCTATTGTGTAACGATATTCATTTGTGTGTCTTATTGATTTATTAATCTAGTCTCTGACATGGTTAAAGTTCAGAATATCCATTATTTCATATATCAGCTACACTGGTCTAGTATAGTGCTGTCTTATTCTTCCTAATTCACATTTCATTTTCCTGTATTGATATTTTTTTATTGCTCATTCAGTACCGTAGTTCTCAGCAAAACCAGTGAACCTGCTCTAGTTGAAGTTTTTAAAGTGTCTGATGATTCCGAGTCAATCCGTGATTTAAATAATCACTCTGAAAATCCAGTTAATAATTTATCAAATCAAGGAACACAAAAATATCGAACTTATCAAATTAAAAAATCACATCATATCGAATTTATCCTAGCCCGGATAAACAAACAAAAGTCATATAAACTTTCAGATGATGATAAGGTAGAACCACCAGTCATTGCTGCAAATCATGATATATCAGATGGTATTGTTGCACCGTCCTCTGTTGAATGTATTTTAAATGATCAGCAGCTTGAGGAAATGCCAAATATTTTGGAGTCTTACTGGAGTCATACAGGTAATGATGCGTTAGATGTTTGTCAAAAAGTAGCAGATGCTTTAGTGAACTTATTCCACTTTGGTTTTGATAAATTTTGTGCTACCCACGGAGACGCTACTCTTGGACCTAGAAAGTTTTGCCATATGTTGAAGTCATCAGTGTTAAATCCTCATATTCCTAGTGCAGATGCAAGTTCTGTATGTTCCAACAACTTTCAATCTGTTTTGGATTCGTCAATTTTTATTGCTGATGAGTGTCAGAGTCAAGCTGCAGGGATCTTCCCAAGTGCATGTCTCATGACATCCAGTCGTTTTGTTGCAAGATGTCGGGCACGTGGTGATGCTAACTCAGCTGACTTACTGACTCTACCGTCTTCTATCATAACTCATACACAGGCAATAACGGATGAGATGGATGTGAGACGAGCACGTTCACTACTAGATCGATGTCGAACCTATTTAGCTCCAGGTGATTACAAAAATATGATGATTAACTTATCCAACTTAAGTCAAGCTATTCAGATTCCTAGATTAATCACCAGTAATCATGAACAGTCAGACAAAACTGAAGTATTACTTTCTCTTGCATGTGTGTTAAATTGTTTGAAAAAACATTTATCTTTGTGGGAGGATTTTGTTTGCCTTCTTACTCCATCACAAGCCCGTAGTCTGGGTCTGCTATCTACATATTTCAATCTGGCACGGATCAACCGAGTGCAAAGAGTTTTACAAGATATTGTTCCCCGTGATAGGAGATTTTGGAGACGTCTTCGTAATTTGGCAGATAGCTGCAGCATTGAGGCACGTCATATTCCAGTCAAAAAGAAGTTTTATACAGGTGTGGGAGATACTTCTGCTCGTGATCCTTCAAATGCAGATAAACAGGACGTCCATGATTGCAGCGAAAAAGCAACTAATGGGAGTCGAAACAATCAGAAATCATCTGTGTTACAACAGGGTCAAAGTTCAGGCACAATCTTCAGTAAAACCCGAACCAAATCCCGCGTTAGAGGTTTGCGGCATCGAAATATGCATGATGCATTCTCCAAAGCTTGGTCAGTTCTGGAGAGTAGTTGGCGCAACCGTCCTGTTCTCTTATCACGTATCGCCAGTCTTATTAATACTAGACATAAGCCATATGTCGGTTTTGAACAGGTTAGTGACGTCATTTTGTATAAATAAATCAAACATCTCTTCTATTAGTATATGTATATGAAAACACACGATGCCGAATTTCCCATCTTAAGTTATTCTTGTGGTTTAAATCCATATATTAAGTAAATAAACTGATGTACACAATACTATATATATATATATATATATATATATATATATATATATATATATATATATATATATATATATATAAAACAGGACTACTAAAAGGCACCTTCTGACTTTGATTGTGAACCGAATATAGCGTTGGATAGAGGCATTAATTCGCAATACGCTAATATACGATAGTCATTTATTTGATCCAAGTTCAGAGTATGTTACTAGTGGTCTCGATTTGAAAGCTGTGTGAATTTCCACATTATTCATTAAAATACTAAATAATAATGTGAATATTTTTTTCATTTTTTTCCCAGAGTTTTGAAGAATCAGATGTACTTGCTCGTCATCCTGTAGGGAACCCAGCTTATCCCGAGAATTTAAATCAAAATGCAGGCATTTCAAGCAGTAGATACATCCCTCCTCCAATCAACCCCCTTTCTCCTCAGTTACGCTCTTTTCTTTCGGAAGGATGGGAAGTATGCACTGACCTTGCTTCAACAGCTCACAATCGAAATAACTCGTTAGGTACACTCTGGGCTCGTAGACAGTGTCCTTGCCGATGTCATCCTTGTGCATCATCAAACAGTGTTCCAATAACAAATCAATCTGGAAAACCTATAAAAAAGGTTGACAGTCTTGGTTTAAGACACTGCATTTCTTGCAGTTTGAGAGTAAGTCCACTTTTATTCCCAGGAGTTACTCATCTAGCTGAATTATGACAATATCTTTCAGGTTTTGTAGGCACACTATGTTTTTTGTCTTATGCAGGACGACACGACTCCTGAGGTAAGACTATCTTTTCATATGAAGTTTTCGTTCATACGTTAATTAATGCGAATGGAATTGAGCCGAAATAAGTCTTACCATTCGATCGAGAAACCAATTTTTTCGTTCTGCTGTAGGCTGTGAATGGTAAGGTGAGAGATGAAGCGGATCTCAGAACCAAATCGGTAGACGCATAATATAGTCATTCAGAATTAAGATAACCTCTTATGTATTCTGCGCGAAATCTATGGTGCAGTGATCGATAATTTGTATGTTATAATTAACTAAATGAAAATTAACAATAAGTGATTCTTAAAACGTCTGGAATCAATAAAAATATATATTACGCAACCAGAATGTCAATTTAGGAAGGTTCTGAAGCTAAATGACAAAAAAATACCTACTCCTAAGGCAGATTGTATGTTAAAGTACTTAATGGAATTCAACATGTAATTAAAAGTGTTTAGTTAAGTTAGATAATATTCTCCCTTTTTAATTCTTCCCCTAAATCTCAATACAAGGGTTTCTTCAGTTTGCAAGCAGAAGTGTGGTAAAGCATTGGTGGTAATTCGTGATGGAAACTCTACCTAACCCTAAACTTTTTGGATTGTATCTGGTGTCATTTAATGACGAAAACTTTACTGAGTGAAAACCCTACTACTACTTTGACTCCCAGTATTTAAACTTGACCTTCCTTTACTACAGAGAATAGCATAGGATGTTAGGGTTACTTGTTCAGATCCAAGCTGTTATGCAACTGCTTTTTACTGTTAATTGTTTTGTAACTATCCGGCGTTTCCACATTGGCCGGCAAGCCCCCAAATGCCCTGGTACGGCCGATGGTGGGGAGACTCCACTCTCCCTCTTGAAATGATCTCACATGACCACACGTATGCAGCCAATGCTAGAGAAGTCCTACCCACCGCATTCTCACAGAGGGGGTGTTGTTTACGAAATTGAAAGGACGAAAAGCGAATCTCCGGCACTTTAACCGGATTGGTGGATATGGAACATCCAACTAGGGAAGTTGGAAAGGACTAATTCCAAACCAATGGTGCACATGGGCTCCAGAATCCTGAGACAACAAATGGCGTATGGACCTACCGTCGCTTACCGGCTACTATAGGACTGCATTTCCTAAAGTTGCTCCACTATCTTGTGGACTAGATCTCTAGGTCAAAGGCTCGGGGAGTGGCCTCCTAAGAAAACTACCCGCCTCGGTTTGTGCGCCCTGGCAGTACTCCAGCCCTCACACAAATCGAATGACGACGTGTATATATTTGGTGCCTCCTTGAACCAATGTTTGTGTTTAAATAACAGTAATACATCGGCTGATTAGCTGCTCAATGCCGTCCGTATATTATTCTTTTATCCCCGACCGTTGTTGCTACCTTGATGTTGCGGCCGGGCCCACTAATATTAATGAACTAATCCAGATATACTGGCTGGAATAATCGTTCCTCAAGGTCTTACCATACCAGACAGGTCGGTTGAAGATCGGTAAGACTAAAACCAGCAAACCCAAGGTCCTGGGACAAAGTCGTATGGCTGAATGTACAGAGGTGTGACGGCAGTAAGGTGTCTCCTTCAGACAACCAGCATAATAGCGATGGTGCCTTCTCACAAGGAGGGGTGGGACTAGAAATGGTCGACCCTGAAAATAAAGTCTCTGACGGTAAGGTCTTAACAAGTGCGGGGCTGACACGAAAATTACTCACAAAAAGGTCATGTGTGACCGACGTCAAGCAGTTGTCCCTTGAGCACTACTGTCACACTTTCAGGTCACTAAGACTACCCCTAACCTAATTTCCTTCTCAGGTACTTCCAGAAGAACCCTTCAACGGTGTGGGCGACTGCCCTCATACCTATAACAGCACTCAAGATCACTATATTCACAATCGGTTTTCCTCTTCAATTCCTACTATTCCCCCTACCTTGACTTTCAACTCTGAACTTCCTGCTCAAGCGTCACCATGGCCAACGAATCTAGTGCGCGAAATACTGTACCAGGTGTACTGAAACCTCACTCCAAACTACACATTGGAGTTTTCAACGTACGCATCCTATGTTAAGTCCGCTAGCAGGTCTCCTTGGCTAAGACCTCAGAATCTCGTACCATTGACGTATGCTGTGTCTCCAGAAAACGCATACAAGATTCTAGTGTGGTCATTCACTTGACCTCACCTCGCCAAAATGGGAACCCGATGAGATACACCCTTCGTTCATTGGACTATCAGCATACAGACCAATAATAGAATATAATACATAACATTCGTCAACTATCTTCGTATATCACTATCATTTATTTTTTAGGTGCATCGTGGCATTGTATATGTTGATGAGTGCAATCTTCATCTGCGTCACGTGAAGATAACTTGGCCACCTGATTTTAAACCAAAAGCTAATTTACCTCGAAGTTCCCTATCAGCTGACTCTGTTGCAAATCAAATCCCTCGTCCTGCAACAATCCACAATGCATCATCAAATATTCCTACTCGTACTGCTTTAAGCGAACTTGCAAAAATGCATGCCAGATTACATTCTACAAACAGAGTATCAAATCATCGCAATTTCCTACCAGATATGGCTGGTCGACGTGTTTCAATCGAATTTGTTCCTTCTTTTAGATCAAGTACATCAGACAGTCGACAAATCGATGATTCAAGCAATCAAGATGAATGTAATGCTCTTGAAGGAACTGATGACGTTCAACTCTCCTGTCCCCTAATAGATAAGCATCCAAGACTAGTCGATGTAGATAGTATAAATGGTCTCATACCACCTGAATTACATTCGAAATTTGATGTAGAAAATCCTATGAGTTGGTCGCTGGATGATGAAGCTGCTTGCTTCAATACAGAAGCTTTTGCATCTACATACAATGAGAATCATGAAGGTGATCCGTGTGAATTAGTTAATGATGATTGGACACCGGAAGAAGACAGGCAGTTATTGGAATTTTGTAAAGCTAAAGGACGTTACAGCTCTCAGATGTTTACAGACTTAGCTAAAATATGGGAACCCAAACCGTATGTTTACTCGGCACAACGAAATCCACTGGAATTAGAAGAACGTTTTAAACATCTCATGCGCATCACATTGAGAGAAGCTTATGATCCAGAGTTATTTCAAACACCGTATAGAGACGAATCTTCATGTGAAGATGACTAATCATAATTTGACTTTATGTATTTGTTTTCCCATATTCACAGAATAAGTTAACGCGCATGAATTGAGTCTTTCATCTGTATAAAATTTGTACAATATTACATAAATTTCCTATTAATTATCAACATATATTTATCTTCTTACAGCTCATTCTTCAAACTTTATAAAATTCATGTTAGTGTTGCAAATTTTTAAAGTCACATATTTTGTATATGCTTTCAAAGTTCTTCATGAGATAACACTTAAAAATTGTTCTAACTTGCGTATAGTGCATAGATCCGGTGATAAGCAACTATGGAATCGATTAGATTATGTTGATGGGGATGGATATCCCATTGACTTTAAAGCAAAGTAAACCAATAAATAAGAACTTTCGTCTAAATTTGATCGAATAGATTCACAGTATTTGGGCGCCGAGTTAATGTGAAACATTAAGGAGGAAGGATGTATTCTTAAAATCTCAGCGAATGATATCGAAGTAAATCCAACGTTTCACCTGGCAATCTGGTTCAAGCCTTTTCAAGGAAACAATCAAAATTATCGGATATAAATAGGTACATGGTTCTCCGGTTCACTGTATACTGAAAAAGTCATCCAATCAACGTTAACAATGTTTAAAGTAGGTATTTACATTAGTGTGAAGCGGGATTGAGCTGTACTGCTCGGCTTATAAAATGTAAACCTGGGTGGTGTCTGGCTCTCCTGTTAAACGGGGTCGAGCCGTACTGTCTGGGTTGTCACGTGAAAGTCCGGATGGTGTCTGGTTCTCCTGAAAACCAATGTAAAAATTACCCTGGCCCACAAGTGTATATGACTGAATAGCTCCCAAATGCCCTGGTACGGCCGAGAATGGGGAGAGTCCGCTCTTCCTCTCGAAATGCTCTCATTTAACCACACGCATATAGCCCCTACCAGAGGAGTTCTACTCACTGTCTTCTCGTGGCGGGGGCGTTGTTTACGGAATTGAAAGGACGAAAAGCGAATGTCCGGCGCTTTAACCGGGTCGGTGGACATGAAGTCTATCTAGGGGAGTTCGAAAACCCTGATTCCAAACCAATGGTGCACATGAGCTCCAGTACCCTAAGTGAACAAATGGCGTATGAACCAATCTTTGGTCACTGGCTATCATGGGACTGCATTTCTTGATTTTGCTCCACTACCTCGTGGAACAGACCTCCAGGTCGAAGGCTCCGGGTATGGCCCCCTAAGAAAACCACCTGCTTCGGTTTGGGTACCCGAGCAGTATCACAGCCCTCACACATCAAATGAAATCTGTGTGGCGCATATGTATTTGGTGCCTCCTTTTACCAATATATATGTGTTAAAATAAAAATTTACATTACTGTGTAAGAGACATGTGGTGTGACCATTTGATTTCATGAACACAATTCTATTGTTCCTCCTTGTGTATTGGATCTTTGATTCTTACTAGTTTTGATCTTCGAGTATTGTTTGTTCTAAAGAATACTCTGATATTTTAAAGAGTTAGGGTCCTTCTGAAATGATTTCATGAAATGTATCACCACTACGTTGATCCATCCTAGTTTTCATAACATTCACCGACCAAAGACAGTATACAGTGGATGAAATTTGTCACTTACGTATACACACAATGTTATCTTAACATTTTTCGTTTCACACCACATGTCTCCTACACACTAATGTAAATACCTACTTTAAACGTTGTTAACGTTGATTGGATGACCTATTCAGTGTATAGTGAACCGGAGAACCATGTACCTATTTATATCCGATAATTTTGATTGTTTCCTTGAAAAGGCTTTGACCAGATTGCCAGGTGAAACGTTGGATTTACTTCGAATTCATTCGCTGAGATTTTACGAATGCATTCTTCCTCTTTAAGGTAAATCAGTGTTTTTGCGAATCGGTATCCTGGTTGATAACACTTCGGGTGTTTAATTCACGTAAAATTCTGCTAACGATTTCCAAATAGTTTGCTATGCAACATCAGTTACTAAAGTATTGTTATTATCCTGTCATCTAACTTCATTGTTCGGGTTAAACAGCAAGTGAACATAAACCATGGGTCAGGAATGATTATGATACCGTTTCAATAAGTAAATGGATTCAAACTGACAGCTACTTTGGGTGGCATGTCTTCGGGATCTTTATGTTCGCAAGACTAATCACAAATCCTCTCGACATTACAGAAAACTTAATAGATTACTTCTACACAAATAGTAATCAATGGTTTTGGAGATCACATTAATTCGCTATTCATTTACGCCATTCATACGACATACACGAGTACACTAGCAAAGGTTTCTAACGAAGCTACCGAAGTAAGTTCAAGAAATACATTTCTACTTATTCCAGTATGACACGATCATCAATATTGTAGTCCGGAATCCAACATTTTTAGTAAGACAAGTGATTGTGGTTTTGCAACAACACCAAAAAACTTTATCATTCAATTATCTCTCATTTTTAACAATGTTGATACCCAAGAAGTACCGCTCATCTACATAACCAAAAACTTGGTGACCCTTATCCGACCATCAACCCTCTTCCCCTTCATATTAATTTTCTGTTGCTGAGATTATCTCCACTAATTAATCGTGGGATCAATAGAAACATTACAAACCTATCGAACAGCACTCCTAGTCTCAAATAAGTAACTGTACATAGTTGCCTGTAACGCTTGATTATATCTCAAACCAAATAATTTTGGGAGTGAAATTCCATGCAATGTTTTCTGCCCTAGAAATTCGGCAGTCCCGTTTATGTCATTCGTAAGCAAACATTTCAGAAGCACCTAGATGATGGCTGTCTGACTCCCTCTCATCCTTATCTGTATTCATACTGGTTACTCGAGATGTGGATCGGTGGTTCAACTATACGACTTCGACTAAGTTTCGTGTTGATTATTCTAGTATTCGTGACAAATTCATACCTCGATTACTGGCCAATAACCGCAAGTAGAACCAAACTATTCTTGTCTACATAACTGTTACGACAATATATTTTCCCCTTAATACTGAGAACGCATCTCGTTACCGTGCGTGATGATGTTAACCGAATCTGTTTGTCAAAAGCTCTAAATATTTTGATTCTCCACGCTTTACAGACGCCCAACTGAAGCCATGTTTCCTGACTATGATTTCCATTCTATAGAGTGCTGGAGTAATAACCCATGACCCTATGGACCCATTACTTTGCTTCTCCTACTTATGATAGACTGTGTAGATTTATAAAGATGACCAGTGCAAGTCAGTGAACAAGCCTGAGTGCTTAGTGCCACCCGAAAGAGTATGATCTTGCGTAGTCTAACTACGTTCACTTGGGAAGTAATGTTTTTGTAGTTAAAATTATATGTTTTATATAACACTGTAAAGGGAAACAAGTGAGTTCGTCAATATTCACAAAATAGTAAACAGTACATTTAGATCTATAATTAGTGACTTTCTTATTTACCACGAAATCCTCCACCACGACCAGGACCACCAGGTACACTCCCGCCACGCCCTGCTCCTCCACGACCTCGATTATTGGGAGCATTACCTCCCCGACCTAAAATGAAGTAAGAATTAACACAGAAAGTTCGTAACAAAGGTTTGAAAATCTCAAGGAACTAAATATCCTAATTAGGATAGAGGGTCAAATATATTTTTATACACAATACTCCTGAATTAGATTTATACGGGCACAAAATGTTTGAGCTGTAAATTAAGTTTTTACAGAGTGCTTTAGGTAATTTATGAAATGAATAACAACTGCTGAATATCTGAAGTATGAAAAAGTAATTATCTATCACTCTGAACTGAACAGATTTAATTCAGTCCATTATACTGAACCAATTATTTTTTGTCGAGTCTACAGAAGCATAAACATCTACGTATCTGTTGCTCAAAAAAGTAACATTAGAAACTTCTTATCCAGTTGGGGGATTGGTTTAATTGTTGTGAAGTTTAGTGACTACGGAAACACTATCAAGACACAAACTACTTGTCGACTGTGTTTGCAGTCTTATCACCACTGGTTCATACTCTAGTGTATTGACTTTTGCCAAGTACAGATCGATACTACTTAGTTGCTTAAGTCGAAGTAAATGGGCTGGGATTAAGAAAGTAACCTAGTTTCTTAAAATTAAAAACCCTAGCCATCAGTCTAACCATGCTGCACAATGTATAAAACTTAAAGTGCCTTCTGTTTGTTTGATTTACCGAAAGTTTATTTGATTGCTAGACAGTAATACTGACGGCTTCAGGGAACATTTAGGTATTGTTTATCCTGTTGAAAGTCTGAACGTCTCCACTGCTTCCATCTATAGAATGTCTAGTTAAAACCGAGACTTCATATTAACCAGTTACACGAAAATGCACAATAGCTTATTTACTTTTCAATACCGATTACTGAATAAAATACTATGTCTGCTTTTTACAATTAAAGCGTATTTACAGTGCTTTATCAAATCGACCTTAAGACAATTTTGGAAGCCCGACTATCGCTTTTTCTAGAGCAAATGCATGGACTCCGATCATGTCGTATTGAAAGCAGAAACACGTTATCAACACAGATATGGTTTGGCCAAAGTTGTAACACCACGGAACGAAAAGATGAAAATAACCCGAGATTAAAATAATATAATAGCAATGACAGAAAGACCAAAACTTGAGAATATTGTTTGAAAAGGTAGAGTGGAAAGGTCTATATGAAGTAATGATAGTATTCAAGCCCAAGAGAACAATAAAGAGTGAATGCTGTCGCTTAGTCTTTAAACCCTGATTGCGGTAATAACACAGACACTACGTAGCATACATGCTTTAACAAATCCTAGATCAACAATCTATAACTTCAGACATTGGTCTTATTACCTCTAGCTTACTTCAAACCTACATGTGCACTTGCAATCACAGCTCATCGAAGTAGATGGGGGTTAGACATATCTACCATATGTTCCAACTACCTCACTTGATGAAGTTGGTGGAAAAAGCGAATTATTAAAGTGGAGACATTTTCGAAAATAAGACAGTGCGGTGAGACTATAATTTATGGACAACTGAGAATGTCCACCTACATACTATGGCTACATGAGGGTTATAAACCAGTGTGAGGAATTAGGATTAATATTTACAGCTGACAGTCAGACTTAATGTTTTTATCACGAACTGACATCAGCTATAATGCAAAAACTCTATTTAGTTGAATGAATGAATAAATTACGCCAAAATTCAAGACCCGTTATCGTAAATCTGATTGATTCGTCGGCGAGACTCTAATTTAGGAACGAGCCAATCAGAAGCGTTTGAGTGATTTCAAGGTCATGGAGCCAAGTTCAACAAGCGATGCTAACATACGATCGGTTCACAGCGGATTTTAGAGAGTAGGTGATTAATGAGAGGTTACAACAGATGGGACGGCGAGACTCTAATTTAAGGACAAGCCAATCAGAAGCGTTTGAGCGATTTCAATTATTAGCCAATCAGAAGACAATATAAAGTAAAAATATATTACAAGAAAGTAATGAATTACAGTAGATATTCTTGTTTTACCTGATTTAAAAACTTGTTAAGGTTTGATAAAGGCTCAGAAGTTCTGAATTCATAATGCATATGGTATAGAAACTCGTCCATAGGGTTTAGGGTTAGAGGCTAGGGTTAGGTTTATTGAGATGCTACAACCCTAATCGTATGGACGAGTTTCTATACCATATGCGTTATGAATTCAGAACCTCTGAACCTTTATCAAACCTTAACAAGGTGAGGGTTATATTTAAGATTAGGGTTAAGGTTAGGGTTTACGGTTAGGTTAGAGTTAAGGTTAGGATTGGGTTAGGGTTTAGGATTAGGTTAGGGTTAGGTTGGAGTTAAGGTTAGGATTGGGTTAGGGTTTAGGATTAGGCTAGGGTTTAGGGTTAAGATTAGGGTTATTTATTTGAACACATAAATATTGGTACAAGAGAGCGCCAATATATATGCGCCACACAAAACAATGAAAATTCGAAGAGAGATAGAAAAAAAACTAAGGAGCACAAAAGAAAAAGAGAACGATAACGAAGAGATTGGTGTAAGGTAGTGTGGTAGTAACGATGGAACGGAAAGGTACAATCAGAAAAAATCTTTCAGGTAAGGGAGACACAACCACTTTTTATGAAGAAAGTAAAAGAAGGTTACAGCAGGATCGCCACTGGCTTCTATTCTGAGCCATATCTGATAACGTCTCTATCCACTGTGTAGCACCATCTCTCAGACCCCAACCAGGGAGTCGTGAAGGACCGACACAAGTCAGTCCTTTGCAGCTTTCTTTCATACCACGACACCATGTCATGCACTGACCACCTCTCCGCTTTTTACAACCAGTCCCAGAGTCGGCAAATAATGCACGACGTGGAATTCTCTCGGACGACATTCGTAAAACATGTCCAAGCCACCGACGTCGGTGTTTCAAGATGGTGACACCAATTGAATTATCATCTCTGTGCCCAAACACACGATGCCGAACCTCTGCATTACTGACATGGTGTTGCCACTGAATGTCAGCAATCCTTCGGAGACAGCGATGATCGAACACAGAGAGTCGTTTAACGTCCTCAACTCGGAGGCCAGGTTTCACAAGCATATAGCAAAACTGCTCTCAGCGACGCGTTGTAGATCCGACCTTTTACAGCCAGACTAACATCACGAAGGCGCCAAAGATGGCCCAGATTGGCATAAGCCGCTCTGGCTTTCACTATACGTGCATTGATCTCATCACTCACACCCCCACCAGCACTTGTGCAGCTACCTAGATGCACGAACTTCTCGACTACGTCTATCTGTTCACCATCCAGGGTGAGTACGGGATTGGAATCCTGCCAGTCTTGTAGAAGTACTTTGCACTTCGAAGGTGCAAAGCACATACCATACCTACGGACACTGATTGCCAGCTGATTAAGTGCGGATTGCATGCCTTGGGCATTATCGCACACCAAGACAATATCATCAGCATACTCAACGTCGAGAAGTCTTTCTCCAGGCAACAGATCCACACCACCATTACTTACATCCATCAGAGCTGTTTCCAGAATGTCATCGATGGCAAAGTTGAAGAGGAATGTTGAGATTGGGCAACCCTGTCTAACCCCACTGCTCCAATAGAACAATGGAGAAAGGTGGTTGTATGCCCTCACCCTGCCTGAGGTGTTTTTATATAGGGCTTTTAGGATGCCAAAACGTGGCATCAGTGCTTGAAGTCACTAACTTCTAGTCTGAGCCATGTTGGTAGATGCAGACTACTTGGTTGGGGTCCGCGTGACTATCGTAACCAATGGTTGGAGACTCTTGGTGACATGGCTCAGAATCGATCACAATGGCGTCGGTGTATACACTCCCTGTCTTCCCTTAAACTATGAGATTAAAATCGCTTCATATCTTTCTTTCTACGAACCAATTCTTTCTGCTTGTACTATATCTCTATATGCAATCTTTCTCTTATATATTACCACCTTTTACCTAACCACTGTTATGAATCTGGTGTTCATCTTGTTGTGTTGATGCGGTATGGCAACCTGGACCGATGCACATATGTGCCTGGTCCTACGTTGTAGCTGACTGACTGACTGACTTTTAGGATGCTAATAAACTTCTCAGGCACACCCTTCTTCAATAGACAATCCCAGAGAACAGTCCTATCCAACGAATCGAAGGCAGCCCTGATGTCAAGAAACACTACGATTGTTGGCCTTTGATAAGTATGGCGATGTTCTAACATTTGGCGAACGAAACCCAGCCTGCTCCTCGCGAGTCAATCTTTCTCGGGTTTTGAACAACCTACGAAGTATGACGGAAGCCAATAGCTTGGACGCAATCGGAAGTAGATTTATCCCCCGATAGTTGTTACAGGAACGATGTGAACCCTTTTTAAAGATAGGGACAACTATCGACTCATTCCATGACGTTGGTACACTCTCTAGTTCCCAAACCTTTGTAAACAACATCGTCAATTCCTTAGTCAAAAAGTCACCACCATCTTTAAAAAGAGCCGGAGGTAAGTCATCTGGGCCAGGTGATTTGTAGCGCTTCAAGAGTTGGAGTTCCTTGCGGACTTCCACCTCATTTAGTGGATCAGTCGTCACCGGCCATGGAGGGCAAGACAGTCTGACCGATGTTGCCAGAGCAGCAGGCCAGTTGAACTGCCCTTCGAAAAATTCTGCCCATCGTCCAAGACGTCGATGGATGTTAGTGATTGGCATCCCATCATCCTCGCAGATGGTTTCACTCACACCAGACTTCTTGCTGCCAGTGGCTCGGATAAGTTGGAAGAGCTTCCGGTAGTTACCAGATGCAGCTGCTGCTTCCAGCTCATTAGCACGCTCCGATCACCAGGCTTCTCGGTCCTTACGCAAGCTTTGCCCGATTTCCTTACGTAACATCCTTCGTTTATGGTCAAACTCACGGTCACCCGGAGTAGACCGACGGGCTTCAATGAGTTGTAAGGAGCCTGAAGAAACCCAGTGCTTATAAGCGGGACGTTTCGCAAACCCACAACTGACTGTACCCGCCATTTTCATGGCGTCATGCCATTGCAACCAATGCTCATCTATACTTTTCGGTGGAGTGGTAGCTAGCCTAGAGGCTAGCTCGGTTCGATACTTATTTGCAACAGAAGTTGCAACCAACTTGCTAACATCAATCCGTTGGTGGCGGTCACTTCGTTGGCCACCGAAAAGTAAGGCAAGATTGGCGCAGACCAAGGCATGGTCGGAGTCCAGATAGGTATTCCAAAAGGAGCGTCAGTCTTATACACAACCACGCCAGCGGAAGCTGATCGCGATGTGATCAATCTGAGTCCAGGCTTGAGATACAGAGGGAGGACGCCAGGTGGCACATCGGCGATGACTGTGCCGAAAGTTAGTGCTAGCCAGAAACAGGTTGTGGTCTGTGCAAAGTTGCAGTAGACGGTCCCCGTTATCTGACCTGCGACCAACAAGTCCCCATCGACCACCTAAACGACTCTCTTCTGTGCCTGGACGCCTGACCTGAGCATTAAAGTCTCCGGCTAGTACTACAATATCTGTCGAACGCACTTTCTGGAGAAGAACAGATAGCTGGTGGTAAAACTCATCCTTGATTGCATCCGGGCTGCAACCCGTCGGAGCATTGGCGGAGATGACGAAAAGACATCGTTTCTCACGCCGATTTCCTCTCACTTCGATGGAACTCTCTAATCTAACAGTACATAACCGACTGTTAATGGGAATCCAATCGATTAGTGCTGCCTCAGCTCTAGCGCTTAGTGCGACACCAACGCCAGCAAGACCAGACGAAGATGACACAGGGTCCCCGGATAAGCGCACGTAAAACAAGCTTTTTGAAGCGACAGATGGAGATCGAATTTGTAGTACTTCGCCAGAGTCTTGAATACGGGTCTCGGATAGACAACAAACATCAATATTAAGACTTTCCAAAGACAGCCAGCCCTATCTGTTGTCTGACCTGCACTAGTGTGCGAACGTTGAAGGCAGCCAGTTTGAATGGTGCACGTGGTTTCAGAAAAACTGCTTCAGTACTCATATTCGGTGGTAACATACAATTTTCAACCGGACAGTGACTCGAGAACGTTTAGATACAGTCGAATTTCCACCAAAGACGAGCCGCTGTATAAGTAAAAAAGAGGGTGAATAATGTGGAAAATAATAATAATAATAATAATAATAATAATAATAATAATAATAATAATAATAATAATAATAATAATAATAATAATAATAATGACAATAATGGTAATAATAATAATAGTATTAATAATGACAATAATAGTAATGATAATTATTTGAATCGATTGATTGTTTATCGGAGCGAGAAAAGTAGTTGCCATAGACAGAGTTCATCGTTTGTGTGTGGACTGTGATACTGCCCGGGTGCCCAAACCGAAGCAGGTGGTTTTCTTAGGGGGCCACACCCCGAGCCTTTGACCTAATGGTCTAACGCACAAGGCAGTGGGGAGCATCGTAAGGAGATGCAATCCCATGGTAGCCGGTGACCAACGATTGGTTCATACGCCATTTGTTCCCGCAGGATACTGGAGCCCATGTGCACCATTGGTTTGTGATCCGGTTAAAGCGCCGGACGTTCGCTTTTCGTCCTCTCATTTTCGTAAACAACACCCCCGCCACGAGAAGGCAATGAGTAGGACTTCCCTGGCAGAGGCTGTATACGCGCGGCCGTGTGAGAGTATTTCGAGAGGGAGAGCGGACTCTCCCCACTCTCGGCCGTACCAGGGCGTTCGGGGGTTAGGTTTAAGACTAGTGTTAAGGTTAGGGTCAAGATTAGGGTTAGGGGTTAGGGTGATAACATGCGATCGGTTTACATCGGATTTTATAGAAGAGGTGCTTATTGAGATGCTACAACCCTAACCTAAACCCTAATCGTATGGACGAGTTTCTATACCATACGCATTATGAATTCAGAACCTGTGAACCTTTATCAAACCTTGACAAGTTTTTAAATCGTGTAAAAGAAGAATATCCACTGTAATTCATTACATACAATATATTTTCACTTTATAGTTACTGTCTCCTAATTGGTTAATAATTGTTAAGGTCATTTAAGATTCCTTCAAAGGTCGTCCCTACGTTAGAGTCTCGCCGATTCGTCCGTAAATTATAGTCTCGCGGATAGTCCTGTTTTGCTATCGTATGTAGCCTCCCACTAGCACCACATCAAAACGATCTTACTGGTGAACACTTCAATATCTAATTTGATACCCTTCGGATAAATGTGTACATTACCAGTCATTCAAGTCTTAAAATACAATATTAGTGATATCTAATTAATTCGAGCAAATGAACGACAAGAAGCAATGTTTTGGGAAAGAAAACATAAATATCAGCTATAGGATGCTGGTTAACGAGATCACAATTATGAATGTAAACATATGGACATAAGAATGTTCTGGAGGAAGATATTGTTTAATGAGAATACCAAAACTGAGTTATATTACCTCTAGCCTTATTCCTATGAAAACTCCCACGCCCAGTGTCTGCAGATTGAGAACGATTACGCATTTTGGCTAGCTGCAAGTCCTCTTTAACCTTATCGATTACGTCGTCTGGGATCCGTAAATATTTTATTATGCTTCCACGAATATAACACTCTGGCATTTTCCAGAAGCGATCCCCATCCTATGAACTATAACTTCAGCACATATATAGGATTTACTCGAGATGTACAAATAACTTCTTTAAGATGAATGTTCATCCAGTCATCGCAAGCAACAAGGTGACCGTTATATGTTTCACCACTTTTCAACTCAACAAGCTGAAAATAATTTAACGACTGCAAATGGAATTACCATAGGAAGATTCGTCGCAGCCTTGAGGAGTGTCACGGGTAACTAAAAAAAAAATTAACGGAATAAGTGAACACAAACCATTGCGAAATCCAATTAAGCGCCCAATGATTAAGCTAGCGCAAGGTCATCTCATGTTCAATGTCCATTATCCAATATCGATATTATGGGTAAGCACAAGCTTTACATCTCTATATAACCATAGCTTTGTCTCAAAGAAAATTCAAAATTTCTCAAAAGTGTACGAAGAGAGGAAAAACAAAAACATTGTTCTATAATAAATAGAGAAATATACTGTAAGTCCGAAGTTTTTATGGAGACGCGACAGGTAAGCGAGCGTGTCGCAATAAGGCTGTCTTCAACATAATTTTTCCTGTGTAATTCCATTTTGAGTAATAAGACTGCGTTAGTGAATATGTGTGTGAATAACCAAGAAGTTTAAATGGTTCAAATAGTTGTACAAGAATAGAAGTAGTTTCATACAAAACGTTCTGTTTTTTAATAGCAGTGGGGCGTCGATGCGTCTAGGTACGGACTGTGGTATATTTAACAAGCAAGTGCAAAAATGCAGCAAGTAATAAAGAAATGATGTTATGAATCCTTAAGAATATATTGAGTTTCCTCCCGAAGCAATCCTGTGACGGCGGTTATACAACAAACGGCCGGCCAATCGCAAAAGAATAGAAGGTATGTCTACTACACAGTATGTCATGTCATATCTTTGATTTCTGAGTCCCACCTGTAATATTTGTGTCAAAACTGAGCTTAAGTAAGTACTTCCTGGGATAATCAGGATTGTTTAGGGTCCTGTAAGTCATTAAAGTATCATTTCTCAGTGGCCTGTACTGTGTGGGTAATATCAAGTTATTTAAAGCGCTCTCTATAACTAAGACACCGAAATCTGTTTCAAATGGAGAAATCTCTAAAGGGGATTCCCCAAGGTGTATGTATAGTTCATAAGATGTCTGGAATGGACTATTTCATACCTTCAAGAGTTGAAAGTCTTTAGTTATCTTCCCAAACATGAAGTCCAGTCAGATCCCCTTGAAGTATCAGCTCATTATTATGGTTAGAACCTTCTCTCTAAAGTTTCACATCGCCGGTGAAAATTATTAGAACAGACGATTCCTGTTGATTATTGTAATTTATATTAATTAAAAAGTTTTTGGTACTGAACCTTGGAGGACTTTACGTTCTGTAGATTGAGAAGAAACAAAGTTCACTGTGACTTTCAGACTCAACAAGTTCCATACGAACTAAACCAATCCATCAATTGTGGCTTGATAACTAACAACTTAAGTTTGTTTATGAGTCATGTATGGTTGACTCTACCAAAGACTTTAAAGAAGTCAAGGTATATCACATCCACCCTACCCTTTCAATTGATGGTGGCTGTCTAATTATTTGTAATAAATTAAGCTGATTGGTTAAGAGTTGGTCGCAAACGTTTTATTGATGTTAAAACATAGCTTAAGCATCCATTTTTTCCTTATTTTGTATAAGCGTTATATTTCCTATTATCTTATAGTTGAAAAGCTTTGTGGATTTGAAGAAAGGTAACCACGTACTTCATCCCTTCTGTTCCATGATCGAAGCAATGACCTATTCACTACTAGTCTGGGTTCTTTTATCGATAAAACGAGGGGTACCTACCACCCCATTCAGCAGACTGATAATGCAGGAGTAACCATCATTTTAGCTGTGTTCTTGGAGCGAAAAGAAGCTTGCGGATAACAAGTAGTTACGTAAACCATGCTATGTCGAAGATCCAATTATTTTTCAGCGTATTGAAAGAACCAATACCAGACGTTTGCTCGAAAAGACAGTGAGCCAGCTCTATTTCAAAATTTTTGTAATGTATTCCAGCTACCAGTTGTCTGGGACCGCCGCATGGCTACGGGAACATGAAAATATTATACTTAGGGATATAGCCACGATCGAATCCGCTTCTCTCAGTGTAGCAGGGTGAGCAACATCCGGGGCAGGGGGATTGTCCTCAACTAGATGCAGCGGGTTTGACAAGCTAATCCAGTGTTCAGTTTCAATGTCGATAATCCTGTGGATGAAGCTCTCGATGATATGGTTTTAAGAAGACCTTATTTCGGTCGTTTCTAAGACTCGTTCGAACTATTTGATGTATTTAGAGTACTATGTCCCTTATAAGCAATTTCAACACCTAGAAAAATAGCTAGATGACATTGTTCGATATCCTTTTTATGAAGATGCGAATTAATATAAGTTCTGTACACGTGGTAAAATAGAAACTGAATCGATTAAGATGTTTCTCCTTACAAAACACAAAAACAACACCTACATCACCTAGCTTATTTTCAACCTAATTTCGCAAGTTGTCTTCTTGGTATAAGCTCAATTTCGAGCTAATATTGGATTTAGCTACAATTCTTTCCTTAACACGTAGTGAATAAGAATTATATGCTCCTAGTAATGGTTACTCTAGCTTGAATATGCCACAGGTATTTGGAGTTTGACAACGCTTTGACCAGTAACACATTCTACTATGAATCGTACTCTCCAAGTGAAATCAAAAGACAGAAGCGAGGAGGTTCGAAGATACATTTGACAAGCTATCAATATATCGTTGTTGGACTGATCAAGACTACCTAGCGATTGTAGGAGATGATGAGCATGGCATTCCCACTGGTGATTTGGTGCGGATGCATGACCGATCGTCTTCACCTAGGTGAGTCCATTAAAACTGATGCGGTCATCATCCAATGTCAAAGACTTACAGAGCTATTTATTTTGAGGATTTATTTACAGCTACAAGCTCAAGATATCTCCACTGAAGAATCATGTGGTAATCATAGTGTACTTCCAAAGCAAGCGGAACTTGAATTTTAAAATCACTATGAGTACATTATTCAAGAACCAGCTTTTTACTCAAATTCATTATCTATCAATATCTATCATTTCCATATGTATTTGATCCTTTTAGACCAACTGAAATCCACTCATAATGAGGGATTGGATGGAGTCAGTATCATATTTGTGACTCCTGCTCTCAATGATGTGCACGATTTTTCAATTAAATCCTCTTTTTCGCACTTATGAGCAAGTATACTTTTATGTGGTCTAACTGGACATTGAATCTAATAGTTATCACTTGGTCTTTCAATTTAGCCAAATCCAGCTGCTACTGAAACTTTAACGTTTATCTCTTCCACGTCTTTTGCAGTTCTCTTAATATTGACAAAACGTCAAATATTTGAACCCTAGGAAATATTCAGTAATGTAAGATCTACGATACAATGTCCCCAGAATACTGTCCCGGATAAACTGCTCTTTGGTTAGTTGTTCATCTGTCCACACGAATGTATGAAAAAGCAATGTTTCATTAGTCATTGTTTTATTAAATAACGTAAGTAAAAGTGTAAATCACAAAAGACCTCACAACGTCTTCCTTGAACTACGCAGCACAATAGGAACCAAAACGATGACATTAAAAACTATAAAACATCGAGTAAACAAATTCAGTTTAGAACACGGTTCTTCAGCCACACGTGTTGATCTAATGTCTTTAAGTCAATAATGAGCTCCAAACTTATTAATTACAAAAATATTTTCAGATTCAGATTTCAGATTTGTGTAGTAAGGACAGAAGGCCTACGGCTTATTTTATTCCTTTTCTAGTATGCTTCTGTGAGTGTCCAGTCTTCTCTTTAAAGAGTCAATTGAAGGTGCGGACACCACTGCTTCAGGCAGCAGGTTCCAAGTATTGATGACGCGGTGTGAAAACCTGTATGACACGGGTATTTTGTTCGTTCTTGGCTTTTTTACTCGCCTGCTATGTCCTCTAAGGCGTCCCGATCTAGTGGGAAGAAAGAGAGAGAATAAGTTAGGTCCGAAATCATTTCTCAGTATTCCGTACATCAAAATTAGATCTCCCCTTAGTCTGTGGTAGGACAGAATTAAGAGGTCCAGTTTTTAGAGCCGCTCTTTGTATGATAAATCTCGGAGTTCCTGAATTGCACTGGTGGCTGCCCTCTGTACTTTTTCTAGTATGTTCGAGTCACCTTTCAAACAGGGGCTTGCAGCCTGTGAACGGTTCTATAGCTTAGTTCTCACTAAGGATGTGTATACAGTGGTGAACATTGCAGTATCTAACTTAGTGAATGTCCGTTTTAAAGCCCAGAGGGTTCGAAACCCCTTGGCTGCGACCTCCCGGCAATGCGACGTCGTCTTTAGATCATTACTCACTGTCACCCCTAGATCCTTATGAGACCGGACTACTGGTAATGACACATTCCCTATGTTGTACTTATTAACCTTTGAATCCCCTAAGTGCATGTAGACACACTTTTCCGCGTTGATAGGCATCAGCCACTCTTTAGACCAGTTTATCATATTTAACTCTGCCTGAATAGTAAATGCGTCTTTGTCTCCAGTTATTACTCGCCAAATGTTTACATCGTCAGCGTATAATAACATTGGAGGCTGTACTATACTTGTAAGATCATTTACGTACATTATAAAAAGTAAAGGACCTAGGACGGAACCTTGTGGTACTCCACTAAGTACTGGTCTCCAGATGGAGCACCTGGGATTTATTCTTACTTTTTCTCTACGACTTACTAAAAAAATCCTTAATCCATTTTGAAGGAGGTCCGGCAATATCAAGGTTTTTCAACTTCAATATCAGTCTATTAGTTGGAACCTTGTCAAAAGCCTTACTGAAATCTATGTAGACAACATCCACTGAGTTTCCGTTGTCTAGCGCATTAATTCAGAACTCCCGTGCTATGAGGTTCGTTGTACAGGATAGACCCTCTGCAAAACCATGTTGTGCCATGTTCAACAAGTTATTGGTTTCCATAAATACCGTTATGGTCCGTTTGATTATTCTTTCCAGTATTTTCATTACAACACTGGTGAGACTTACGGGTCTGTAATTCGATGGAACTTGTCGTGGACCTGTTTTATGTATGGGAGTGACGATCGCGTCCTTCCAGTCCACAGGTAACACACCTTGGTCAAGTGACAATATGGAATATCACGGTCAGTGGGGCCGCGATATATTGGGCAATACGTCTCAAGATTTTGGGGTGTAGTTCCTCTTGTCCTGTTGACTTCTCCATATTTAAGCACATCTTTTTGGTCGAAGTCCAC